TTTCTGAGACTCAAGGAAACCAAGATATGACTAAGTTTTCCCATTCTTAAGTATTGCATGAACCAAATGAGTGGGTCATTTGGCCAAAACGGTGGCAATTTTAAACTAACCGCAGCGATGGGCGGATTAACAGTGCTGCTGGTACTGGGAGTAGTCATAGTTCAGCAATGTTGTAGCAGTTCAATTTTGATGAAGTTCAATATTGTCGGTATCACTGGATCGCCAAGTTGCTGTGTTCACTGTTGTCTGGGTCACCAATTTGTTGTGGAATAAACAGTCACGGTAAACACAGTCCTCAACCAAAGAATTGTGTATCGACTCATCCATTCCCCAACAGCAGCAATGGGTGTCTCCACCAGGGACGTCCGCAAAACAGTCGACTGATCTTTAGCCAGACTAACATTTGCAAACTTTTACCACAGACAAATCCGAGTTTGGTTGGATATACATGTATATCGGGCGGTCTTTGGTGTCGGCATTCCGATGCTTTGAAGTCTACATTTATTTATTTATTTATTTATTTCTTCTTTATACTGGGTGGCCCATTCAGTCCTTTTATCAGAACTGATCTCACATGGGTCCCAGAAGGAGTAATAAAACAATAACATTATTTTAACATTAAAATGAAATAGATACAATCATATACATGTGTGTAACCTATATTAACATTGCACAGTAAAACGTTATTTTAAAAACGGAGAGCATAAAAATTGCTTTAAATTGAGCGTTAAAAATTGTGCCTTACAGTTAGCCGGGGGAAAAAACCCATTAAAAATCAATTTCATCTAGTCGCTATAGTGCCCAACAACAGTGGCGTCACCAGGCTTTTCAGTCTGGGGGGGGGGGGGGGGGGGGCCACAGGGGGGCACCAGCATTTGATGGGGGGGGGGGGGCACTTAGGTGGATACGGATCGCCGTCCTGGGGGAGGGGTCTAAGGGGAGGATGGGCTAGATGCAAAATGGTGCCACATTTGATGCTAAATTCGATCTGAAGATATCTCCAGAAATTGCTATTTTTGAGGTAATGATTTTAACAACGCGCAGAATTTTGCAGAGGATAGGGGGGCACCAGCATTTGATGGGGGGGGGGGGCACTTAGGTGGATACGGATCGCCGTCCTGGGGGAGGGGTCTAAGGTGAAGGGGGTACCCCCCTCCCCTTTGGAAAATTTTCGCATACGGAGGATGGGCTAGATGCAAAATGGTGCCACATTTGATGCTAAATTCGATCTGAAGATATCTCCAGAAATTGCTATTTTTGAGGTAATGATTTTAACAACGCGCAGAATTTTGCAGAGGATAGGGGGGCACCAGCATTTGATGGGGGGGGGGGGGACTCGGGGGGCACTAGGTTTTCCAGGGGGGGGGCACGTGCCCCCCTGCCCCCCCCCCCCCCTTGGCGACGCCACTGCCCAACAAACAGGCACATTATTCAATCCCTCAGAAAGTAATGGTTGCATATTTTGATGATCACAATTAAAGAAAAACAATGCAACAAAATTATCAATAGCCCTGCAGATAGTTAAGAGTTAAAATGGTTGATAATAGTCTGGACGGTTGTGGGAAATGGATCTTTTACCCTTGCTGGCAGGTTATTCCAGGCTTGGGCACCCCGGTATTGGAAAGTTTTCCTGCCAGATTCGGTTTTGGGACGTGTGGCAGAATAACATTCCCCATAGTACTGGATCTTGTGCGATGTGAATGCTGTTCATTGATTCTGGTGAATTTTTCAGCAAGGTAACTTGGAACTAATCCTGCTAAACATTTAAATGCCATGGTATTAAGATGTAATTCCCTCCGTACCTGTAATGATGTCCAACCAAGATGATTTAATATGTCAGTAGTGGATATTCTATATGGTGCATTCAAAACAATCCGACCTGCCCGGTTAAGGAGCTTGTCAATAATTATGATGAAGATGAGTTTTAGGCCAAAAAAAAATAAGTCTCCGGTTTCTGGTATGGAACTTGCCCAAAAAGTGGTGCGGTGACGCGGCTTTTTTTTTTTTTACCCGATTTTTTTGCTTCAAATGTCGGCTGATGACTGCAAATGGTGCCCGACTAAACTTTAGCGCAATTATAATTATGGGAGTCCAGAGAGGCCACATAAAGCTTATTCTCGATCGTCACCCCATCTAAAAACACGTTAAAATCGTGCAGCAGCAGAATTCCAGTCAAATCAGTGAGTTTGGCGGTTTTGAGACATCATCTATCATTGAAAAAAAAACTTTTTCATTTTGCCGACGCGCATGGCTACGGCGACGCGCGCGCATACCAGAAACCGGAGACTTTTTTTTTGGCCTTAGCAGCGTTGGTCCAGACTATGTCACAATAATCATATACATGGTGACGGTCCGGTATTGCATAGGCCTAAAGGACTTAACTGCCTGCAGTATAATCTTCATGGTGCTTTTTTACCCTTAATTTTTTAATTTAATTCCAATTTTGTGATACCCACGGGTAATTTTGAATTAGAGGTCCTTGCGGCTTATAATTGAGATTGATTGTATACTACAGTAGTTTTCCTAGTTCCGGATTTTTCCTAGTTCCGGATAGCTTCAAAGTGACCTCGTTTGGATTAGTCTCTTATAATTTTTTCTGACGAAGTGCACTTTGAAAAGAAATATGTAAGCTTCTTGATGCACAAAAATCTTTTGGATAAAATCTTCAGAAAATGAATTTTGGCGAGATTTCTGACTCGCACTTTGACATGTTTGGACCGTTTGTAAAGAATCACTGGAGCTGCAAATCGAAGATAAATTTTCTCCTAGGTACATCACTCGTATTTTGAATATTTTGTTCATACACTACAGTCGTATAGACTCTTCAATCGAATGTTTGTTGAATTAAAATTTGGAAATTCGCCAACGAATGATCGTATATGTTTTTGCCTATCCGATCGGATAGCGCGTGTACTTACGTTAATCGATTTTGTGTGACGTATTCCCGGTCAAAGGTTTTCGGTCCGTACGTGCCGTTGCGCTGCAGACAAAAGTTTTCAAAATCGTTTACGTTAATTCTCTTTTTAAAATTTGCTGGAATTCTCTTGAATGAACTATTTTTGGAAAATTAAATAAATTATCAGAAAATGTGCTTGATTCGGGGTGGTTCTTGCTGAAAAATTGATTTTCTGGCCGCTTTTCTTTCGCGCGAAGCAGTAAGTTGATCGATTCGGAACTGATTGAACCGATCCGAAACTAGGAAAAATGGCATCGGTACTTTTGACGTCGTAAAAAGAGCTTATATTTGGAAAATTATGTGTTGTAGTATCTCCATCACCTCAACCAATGTCACTTGAATGTAAACTTTTCAATGTCACTTGAATTCGTGGAGTAGTTTGCAAACGATGTTTGCTATCCGGAACTAGGAAAACGACTGTATTTGTGACACCGGCTCCACAAAAAAAGTAGCCTTTCACCAAGGCCGTCGTGACTTAACTTGCCCGCATTCAAAGCGGCTAAAGCGCGAAGCGACTGGAGATATGGAGACCATGTAGTGATAGCATGACAACTTGTCATGCTATCATTGACAAGGTTTGTTCAGGTTCCCAGGCACTTGGACGTAGTGCGTTTATTCCGCCATGATGGTACAACAAGAGTGTAGCCACATTACACACACACTGTGTTCATGCGAGTGTGCGCACAATATGAATATGTAGTTCTACATTAATATTACAACCATAGAGCTGTATAATAAAGAACTTATTATATAGCTCTATGATTACAACAGATCACACATGCAAGTGGCGAAGCCACGAGCTTTGCAACCTCGTCCCCAGTGCTTACTTTATTTCCAACGTTGTTTCCAATAGTAAACCCTGGATAGGAAACTTCCTTCCTGCATCCTGGGCCAAGTTCGGGCAAGGACCATTAGTCGACTAGTGGTTGATTTGTGACGTACCTTACGCCTGCGCACTGGTAGCAACGTGCGAACGTCTCTAGTCAAACCATTCTACCTCCGGCTCCATGGTCAAACGCTGGTCAAAATGTCATCGCAAAACTTCTGGATCCTGGCTCTCTGCTAGCGTTATGAATGCGCGCGGCTATTGGTTACCAGCGAAGCAACCAACCCCACTAGGCTGGTTCCAAATAGTCGACTAGCGTAGTCAACCATCGTCGACTAGACAGAGTTCGGGCAAACGTTAGTTAACCATTGGTCAACTATAGTCCTTGCGCGAACTTGGCACTGATTCGATACCGCAATTGGCTAGAGATGGATTTATATCGTGTACTTGGTGTTGTTACTCACAACGTGCAGTACGTATTTTCGCGATCATTCGTCCTCGCCTTCTCGAAAATATTCATTTCCTTTCCAATTTGTTAATATTAATATGAAATGTCATACTGCATGTTGTCTCGTAAGATCGTAACGGATTAATTAAAATAAAATCATGTTTTCGTAACTCACGCCATGCTCGCGCTGCGACGAATAAGCCATTTGCGAGTTAAATTTGAATAAAATCTGGAACGCTGACTTAATACAATGCTTTGCACGTTTTAACCTAGCATTCTCCCGACCAAAGAGACTGTTACTATATCACGTGATTCGGGGCAAGCCTTATGCTAGCAACCCCCAGTTCCGGCATGGTCTTGTGTCTTTGTGCTATTCACACCCATTGTGAACGATGTATTGGTGCTGAGCGTCTCTTACGTAACTATGCAAGAGCTTGCCCCGAATCATGTGATTAGCAACAGTGTCTTTGGTCTGGAGAATTCAAAGTTAAAATGTGCCAAGCATTCTGAGCAAGTCATTGTACCAGACGTTTTTCAAATGTAAATCTCAAAGGGTACAGGTTACTCGCAAATTGCTTATTTATTCTGTTTTTACCCCAGACACCGCATACAAAAACAAACGCAAATGTAACGCACAGGCAGGCACTAGACTACTCCTCACTTACATACGTGTTCAAAAATCTTGCACATGCAAATGATCCAATACCAGGGTGAGAGAGCAGGTAGTGATGGGCGCGTACTGCTCGACACCCTGGGGACGAGGTTGCGAGCTTTGCCACTCGTGCGTGCTGACTTAATCTTTGCTCCAGTCGCTTCGGGTCTTCGCAACTCCGCCGCTCTAACCTTGTGCATATGCGCTATATGCATGGCAGCAACTCCGCTTTTACCTACCAAACGCTAGGAGCGCCGTTCTCACGAGTCACGGGAAGCCCGCACGTGATCAATGCATGCTGACTGCTGTATCTGCCAAAACTTCATGAAAGTCAAAGTAAAGCCTTGGTCAACTCCAACCTACAACTTACAAGAGGAATAACTCATTAAGTGGACAGGCAAGTGCAAGTGAATCCCGGTACAATCCCGGTACATACCATTATTTCGTTTTACCGTTTTGAATTTCCTCAAAACAAAAACAGTTTAACCATGGAGGAACAAGCCAATAGACCGCTTGCAGACGCGTTCGATAATCGACGCGCGAAGGCGCGCGACGCCATGTTGTGGGACAAGCGCATATCTATCCATGCACATTTTGTCCCACAACATGGCGTCGCGCACCTTCGCGCGTCAATTATCGAACGCGTCTGCAAGCGGTCTATTGTAGGCTCAGTGCTAACTCAGTAACTGGGGCGCTAGAACTCCTTTTTTGACATTTGGGATGTTGGTCTGTCGTATAGTCGTGTTCCCTAACGTGGCGCACTTCGAAGCTTACCCAACTTTCCTCGTGTAGTGTTGCTGTCGCGCGCAATTTGAGTCCCCCGCGCAAGTTTAAACTTGCGCGCGCAAGTTTAAACTTGCGCGAGGGACTCCTGAAGCACGCAAATTACAACGCGCCATTTTAATTTGCGTGCGCAAGTTTAAGCTTGCGCAAAGGCGATTGCAACCTTCTTTTGCGGGCGGGATTTTCATTGATGAAGAATTTTTTTTTCAAAACACGAGTACATGGAGAAATAATGGAATAAATGAATGAATAAAGAAATAAATACAAAGGGGAATTCAATAAGCGTCAATAAAAAGAAACATTGAGATTTAGCAGTGCTTATCAGAGAAGTTGTTTAAGGGTACGTGGGGGCGGAGCCAGGGAGGGGACCGGGAAAGCAATCAACTTAAGCACACTAGCGGCGATTGCTTGGAAAGTGTACTGAAGTTGTTCAAAAATGGAGACCAGCTTCAAGTTTTTTGCTTTGTAAACCTAATTAGCATTTTATTTATATTCTTGAATGTAAATAAATCATAATTTCAATTTCAATTTCAATTTTTTCAATTTGCTAGACATTTATTCAACGTTGTTCATTAATACACAAAATTAATGTTATAATTACATGTATTATAATTGGATATAAATTGAATTCAAACCAACATTTATCATAAATCAACAACATACATACTGGAACAACGTTAGGTATAGGGTGAAGCATAGCTTTTGTACCCCAACCTGTGGACAAATACCTACAATTACCATACAAGTTACGAATAGGGACAAAAAACGCAGGGACAAAACAGGAACATAACAAAACAAACAGGAGTAAAAATAATTATTCATCAGACATTATAAGAGTTAAGCAATTGAGTTTTCATTTTTTTGATGAATGTAGATAAAGTTAACGATAATTTAACTGAATCACTCAGCCTGTTCCAAAGGTCAATGCCGCGATGGACAAGGCCTTTTTTCAACATTGACGTTCTACTGGAATAAACGTAAAGGTTTTGCTTTGAAACGCTTCTAGTATTATATGAATGAATATTCGAGGTGAAAGTAAAGAAATTGTTGAAACAATATGGGAGTAAATTATTTGAATATTTATACATGAATTTACCTAGATTTAGGTAATAAAGGTCATTAAATCGTAAAATCTTGAGGGCAGCAAATAAGGGAGTAGTGTGTTCACGATAACTGACATTACATATAATACGAATCGCTCTTTTTTGTAAAATTAGTAGTTTTTCACATTGGGAAGAACAACCACCCCACGTGAGAATCGAGTAATTAAGATAAGGGAGAATCAGAGAATTATAGAGAATGATAAGGATATTTTCCGGAACAAAAAACTTTAGGCGATTCATAATCCCTACAGTTCTGGATATTTTGCCAGACATGGTATTAATGTGATTAAATTTCCAATTTAAGTTTTCATCAATATATATACCTAAAAATTTGGTTGTTTTGACTTGTTTCATGATAGTACCATTGAAATTTAGAGGAATGGTTTGTGCGTATTTCTTTTGTTTAGGACAGAAAATGATATAATTTGATTTAAATAGATTAATACAAAGTTTGTTTGCTACCAACCAAGTGCTTATTTTGAGAAATTCATGATTAAGATTACGATTAAGAATGCTATTTCCTAGGTGTAACCCGCTGTTAACGTAAAAAGAATGAATATGATCCCTTCAATTGTTCAAGTTTTGACATTATACTAATCATTTACATTATTTTTAAAATGCTTATGTATTCTACAATTAAAAAAGTACTTACTCTTAAAAAAATACTAATTAATTTAACAATTAATAAATTGTACGGTACAATAATTCATATTGTTTTTAGATACTTGCATAACATTTCGAGCGCTGTGTACACTTCAAAAATGCATAATTTGAAAATGCATAATTAATGAATGCATTACTAATTTAATTAATTAATTAAATGCATTACTTTAACAAATTTTTTATTGCAGGCTCAATAATTCATATTAAAAAAATTTTACAACTTAAAAACGCTATGCATATAAAATGGTAATTATTTTAAAAAGTAAATAAATTTGCAAATGATTTAATTAATGAATATAATCAAATGTTTCCAAAAAAAAGGCATTAAGGCATTGTCTCCCGCAGCTCAGTGATGCTATTAAATCGGAGAAAAAAATCTGCTTTAAAAATAATGTTACACATCTGCATGAGTATACCCAGGGGCAAAATAGTTTAGCGGCTCTGTATGCGTGGCCGGGAAAATCTATGCAGTGCGCAAGTTTAAACTTGCGTGCGCAATTTGTAGCAAGGAAATGAATGCGCGCGCAAGTTTAAACTTGCGTGCGCGCAGGTTTAAACTTGCGCGCGCAAGTTCGATCTTGCTCGGGGGACTCACTTTGCGCTCGACATTGCCAAACCTCTTTGTTGACAAACCTCAAATTCATGCAGTGAAATACTGGTACTTTTACCTTTTTAATGCTTGCTATTTAACCTCTGTGAACAATTTCGGTTTCATAAAATTTAATCCGAAATGCAAAAACGGTCGCGTCCGGAAATTGGGCACAAATTGGCGGAGTGTTCCCTAACGTGGCGCACTTGAATAAATCTCAGAAAATTCCAAATTAACATTTAAGAATTTCTGTAAACTTGATAAATTCTGATAAATAATTTTTATCTTTACTTACAAACCCAGCAAGATGTTTGTCAGAAAATTATTTTCTTATTTTTCGGGGCATTTTCAAAGGGTTCACTTTGCACTTGAAAATAAAATCGGAAAATCACGCCAAAATAATTTTTTCTTTTAACTTTGTAACTGGTAAATAAACTCGCGATTTATGAACAGGAGTGTTTAGAACTTGATGAAATTTCACTTTCTGTGAAATTTCAGTTAAAACTTTTGCTCTAGCTAGGCACTACGTTAGTGCGCCACGTTAGGGGCCACGCCATCAACAATACTAGCGTCCCACTACGGAAGTATTGTCAATGTTACAATTTCAAAGTTCACCAAAAAAATCACTCAAAATACTTGACAAAAATACCTTTGAAAGCACCTACTGGCATTTCCACATGTCAAAGACGAAGTAGGCCCTCATAGAGTTAGAACCCCGCAAAATTGTTGTCAGCACAAAACACTAATTAAGTACAAAAACGTCCATCCCAACCAAGCTTTTTCCCACAGAACCGCTTTACACTTTGCCCCTAAACTCCGTACAATACCTCATGACATACTCACGTTATGTGCACCAAACAAACATCGGTGGATTCTGTCAGTTTTTTGCCAAAAATGATGAAAAATATGCCCTTTCCGCACTGAGCCAACCTGACACTTGAAACGTGCACGCGCGCAGAATGATCGCAGTCATTTTCGGGTTCGATCGCTCGGAGCGCGCCGTGGGGGGTACGTACTTGCACTTGTACGCATGCGCATACTATCGTTCCGCTCCTACACCATACCCCCCGCGGCGCGCTCCTAGTTCTAGGAGTGGAGCCTCATAGTTCTAGGAGTAGGCCCTAATGCCATTTGATTTCTAATTTGGCTGTTACGACCCAACTATGGTTGCGGTGTCCCAACTATAGTTTACATTGATGTACAACTATAACACATTCCCTACAGCTCTGATACATGTCTGACTTTACTTGGGACCATTGACATTAGCTATGGGTGGGGCCCATCTATAGTTAGGCCATGCCAATCTTTGAATTTTGCATAAAACATGTTGCTGGACTATAAAACCCTGCTGGGCAACTCATCCAACTAGGCAGTACTATGCATGCACGACGAATACATGGTGCCAGCGCCCTGTATCGAGCGTCCCGCGCAACTCCAGTCCTAACTATAGTTGGGCCGACCCAACTGCCGCACGATAGTTGGGACAGTCCCAACTATAGTTGGGACCGATGCGATAGTTGGGGCGTAACAGGGCTTCAATGATACTCACAAATATGTTTTGGGTTTAAAATCTGTGAAATTCAACCACTATTGCACAGACATCATGATACAGCGATCATTCAAAAACGTTATGGCTTTTATCTACTAACGCATTGTCTATGGTAGTATGGGCGTACAATCATGTACACATACAAACACGTACGTGAAGCAGGGGCCGGGACACGACCGCGACTAGTGCCGAAAAACAAACTCTGCATGTAGATCGGGGGATGCGCCTACGACTGCTTCATGGCAAGGCGCGGTACAAGAATACAGTCGTAGGCGCATCCCCCGATCTACATGCGGAGTTCGTTTTTCTAGTAAAAGAGCCCCAGGAGTTAGGGTTAAAAGACAACAGAGGTGGATTTAAACAAAGGGCTAGTCAGCTCACTAATGATGTCCTTTATCTGGGATTACAGATGTACATGTATCATACTTACATGAACATGAACATTAGTAGTCTGTTCTGTACCATTTTGTCATGTTCATGTTGCAATAAACATGTACATGCATGAGTTGCAAGAAGATTACTCTTGCTTTTTTTCCTGTCTGGTAAAATAAACACAAACAAATATTTCTTCTTTCAGAATCTGCATTCTTGATACAACTTCTACTGATGTCAACTTCACAGAGTGGAACATGGCAAGGTGTGTATCTTGTTCATAATTTTACAAAAAAATAATGGTTGGCCATTGCTGTATCAGCTCCAAACCAGCCAACTGCCAGTGACCCCAGCAAGTTCAGAGATGAAGCTTAAGTAGTTGAGACTTCTGCACCACAAGGCTTGGAGTCTTGGGTTCAACTGACACCAAAGCAGTTTTGCTAAAAAAATTCTTTTATGCTTTGTGACAGCCCTGATTATACAGATATGTTGATGTAGGGTTATACTCAAACCCATGTTTTATCACAACAAAAAGCTATACATGTACATGTAAATCTGTGCTTTTTTACTATAAAATGATGGTGCAATGTTGTTTGACTTTTCCATAGTGAATGTGAATCATGACACAACTACAAATGCACTTTTGTAGTGCACAGATAAATCCCCTGAATATTATTATTGCTTTCAATTTATGGCATTTCGGAACTTAATTTCTGCTTTTCAATACTGGACTCCTCATTTGTTGGAAATGAATTTGAATAGCGCTTCCACAAAGCCAACAATTTGGTTGATGGCTTTCTTCAAAAGCCTTGTTCGTGAAAAGTTTGACCTCCAGTCATTGTATGTAAATGTGTGGATATGCCTGAAGTCACACAGGGCTGATGGATTAAACCATCGTTTCAGTCCATTTGTCTTCATCCCTACTCCATCCTATCATGGATCAAGTCAAATACATAGATGATGCTATTTCTTTGGGGTTTTTTGTAACTATGGTTTGTTTTCTTCAGGAAACTAAAACGATGTTTGAACATTTTAATGGACTTCGCCAACCTTTTCAAGGCATTCATTGGTGTGAACTACCTGTCCATAGCCTTTGCAATCGGCCAGAGTGGTATTGCAGTAAGTTTGTGTCCTTGCCAATCCTCATTTTTAATGGAACTTGTATCTATTTTGAGTCAAGAAAAATACGCCAACAGTTTGTACATGTTTGCAGGAGTAATACAGACAAAAAGAATGGCACGTTGATTGAATATTGGCAGATAACATTAAATCTGAAAAGAGCAACTAAACGGGAGTGTGGTTTTCCCACAATCAGCATTTTTACAACAGGTATCAAGACCAATTCCTCTATTCAATATGTAAAAATTACCAAAGTTGTCCTATTTATGCTAGAGAAATTGTACAAACAAGGGCCGCCGCAAAACTTTTTTACCTGATTCCTGAAATACTCATCATGTACTAATGATATGCAAGTGAACCCTGAAATGTCACCGAGAGAAACGGAAGGTAAACACAACGTACAGTTTATGTGATATACACATAGGAATGCAATTGTTTTTTCTCTGAGTGATTATGGCAAAATCTGTTGCCAATCACATCTTAAGTTTATGCCCTTGTGGCAGCCCTTACAAGATGGCGCTGAATGCTTACAAAAGAAAGAAAGGTCTATAGATCATGATCATTGACACTGGGATGTTGAACAATGAAGGACAATAGGGTTCACAATTCCCAAAGGTCCGTGATTGACAATCGTGTACAAAACATATGGGAGTTCTGCCTAAAATGTTCAAACAAAAGAGGGAAAAATGGGGGGTTCACTTTTCTTGTTCCGTAGTTGTGGGGACAAACACTCGTCACTACAAGGTATTTGTGGGGACCCAAAACGCTGTGGGGACAGCAGAAAGTCTCCATAACTGGGTCCTAATTTGCCTAACAATGAAAAACTTCTCCTTAGCGTGGTGTAGGTCAACCCACAATCGAATGTGTTTACACACTTGTATGTGTGCCCTGGCCTACACTGTGTTATGGGGACGTTTTTTATTGTCAGGCATATTTGGACCGAGTTATAGGGACATTCTACTGTCCCCACAGCATTTTCGGTCTCCACAAATACCTCATACAGATGAGTGTATGTCCCCACAACTACAGAACAAGACATCATGTACGTTTGTGTACTTGTACACTGTAAGTTGACAACACAATCCATGTCTTAGCCAAAACTGTTATTCTAAACATTTCTTTCAACAAACTTGGATTGTCAGAAAAGGCTAGGCAGAAAGACCAGTAGCTGTAACATTATTTGAGAGCCACTATAAATTATTTTCTTATTTATCCTCAGCTTGGTATCATTGGATTGCTTTTGATTGCCGTGGCAACGGTGCATGGCTGTCATCTCCTCATCAAATGCAAAAGACAAGTTATTCAGAATATTGTGAGAGCCAACTTTCCAATTGGATCTCAATCAACTGATGATGATGATGGTGCACACAAAAGAGGATTGCTCTGCAACATAATGGAAAAGCAGCTGTCCTACGGTGACATAGCGTTTATGATATTGGGCAAATTTGGCACAATACTAGTAAACTTCTCCCTTGTCGTCACTCAGTTTGGATTTTGTGTTAACTATTTCATATTCCTTGGGAACACATTTGAGAAAATGTTTCCTTACTATCTTCCATCCATTGACATTCTTGAAAGTAACAGCACAACTGAAGTACACGTACCATCCTATGATGCTTTTGCTGATGAAATTCAACACTTGGATGACATCCATTATGCATCAAACAGCTCTCCTGCTGCATACATTTGGCCAGTTAGTCTTGTTTCAAGAAGCCCAGGCTACAATATTGTGGTATTGATACCCCTACCATTGTTTATTCTGTTTGGATATCTGCGGAGCGTGCGTCTACTTGGTCCAGTTAGTGTCATCGCCAACATATCCATATTCATTGGCTATGTTTCAATGCTATCTTACTTGTTAACAGGTATGTTGGAAATATAGGGTTTTTTTGCAGTGGTTCCCTAAATGAAACAATATGGTAAATCTGGGAGGCAAATTAAACGATCTTGTCTGTGTACTCCATGAAATATTATAGAATTTCACTTGCAATAGAGTTTGAGAGAGCTCCATATGGGTTGTAAAGATCCAGGCTTTCCCAATGACTGCCGAATGAAAACTGCCTGTCCTCTGAGTAAGCTTTACATGTATGTCTAAATATGACTTACCGGTATCCATTCACCAAAAGGTTGAAGTATTATACGGTATATTATGCTGAGTTTGTAAATTACTTGTGAATAACTCGATGGTATCTCTTAACTTTCCAAAGGTGTGTGTACACATGTAAAAACTAGACATTTCAGTTCTCAGATATCAAGCCTTCAAAAATCAAAAGGTTCCTCCAATTGGCAATTAGGTCGTACAGTTTGTCTACATTTAATATTGAAGCCTGTTGTGTACATGTATTTTCGGAAATCATGCAAAGTGTTCTTACTGGAAAAAAATTGTTAAAGGTAGAGTTCATCATTTGTTATTTGTGCATTTTTTTCGTTTGAAGCAACAAAAGTGCTCAAAATCAAAAGAAGGGTGCTTATAGCCTGATGAAGTTTCAGCTCTGTGAATGCTGCATATTCATAGTAAACATATTCTAGGAGTTTGCTTTCAATTCAAAAGTAGAGTTATGTTTTGAATTGGACATGCTCTCATGCAGTCAATTGCAGCTACGCGATGTCACGAACTGAACCAACATATAATAACAAACGTGCATGTGTGCGTCGGTGTCATCGCTTGCGCACACTCATAAAAAACAAACTACTAACGGAAATTTCCAAAAATGCATCTTTAGATGCATCACTGGAAAAGGCCTTCTTTTATTGTTTTCTTCAAAATGACAGCATACCAGAATAAATCATTTTACAGGGAGTTTAGTACCGGTACTATTACCATCTTTAAACCAAGTGCGCTTTTCAACAATAATTTGGTCAGTTACTTTTTGGATAGCTGCAAATGATGGACACTACCTACATTCATTGTACTGTTAAATGGAGCTATGTACAAACTCCGTTTCAAACATACTCTGATAAACGAAAGCAATGAATCATCATAAATCATGCATATTTTGGAGACAACTGAAATTTCAAATGGTCAGTAAACAAAGAATTTTTTAAAAAGTGTGTTTGGGATAAACTTCCATAGAACCATATTTTTCCCACAGATTTCTGTGTTGCTGACAGCATCTCATGGTTCAAATTCGACAAATTGAAAACTTTTCCTATATTTTTTGGACAAGTTACTGGCTCGTATGAAGGCATTGGGACGGTAAGTTCTTTCTGTATATTTATGTATCTTGCTTTATTTTCAATTGGGTGCATGAGTCCAGATCGTAAAGATGTCATCAGTGTAGCAAACATGTCTTGTACGACATAGTTTAAAAACATTTGTGTGTTCCCAAAATTTTTGATTCTTGTATTTACTACATCCACATGTAATAGAGCCTGAAAGTTAAACCCTGCTTCCAGGATACTCAAAAAGGAGAATTAACTTGTGAAAGTTCTAGGATTCACAATTATTTTTGATTCATTGAGTTCATAAGAAATTTACCTCAGAATAAGGCCTTTGTTACATTGTAAATACAGTAGCATATCAATCAGCGTTGTAGTCGAGACCGGATAGTCCGAGACCGAGACCAAAACCGAGACCTGAAGTTTCGAGACCGAGACCGAGACCAGCCCCTTCAAGGCGGACCGAGACCGAGACCGAAATGGTCCGAGACCGAGACCGAGACCGCTGATAATAAATAACAATAATCTAAATAAAAATCAAGACAAATACATGTAATTATAGTTGTAAGTTGTAACCTTTCTATTCACGAAGATAACAGACAAAATTTTGACCAGTGGCAGTGTTGACAAATTGATACATGACACCTTACTTGAGCAAGAAGTAGTTACACTTAAAAAATATGGGGTTTGATATGTTGTCTGCACCCAATCGCGACAAAAGTAAAAAGTTAGACGTAGATGTTTCATCTGTTATAGGAACTGGGATCCTAAACTCCACAGTCACCCCCTTGGTTTCAGCTATCCCTTACAGAAATGTCCCATGAGCATCCCATGGGATTCCCATGGGGTCCCATGGGATTCCCATGGGACCCCATGGGAAACCCATGGGGTCATCAAGAACACCATGTAAGTTAAAATGATCATCATGGGAAACCCATGGGAACACCATGGAGATTGCATGGACAACATGGGAACACCATGGGGATTTTACGAGCTCCATGGGAACACCATGGGGATTTTATGAGCTCCATGGGAACACCATGGGGATTTTACGGACACCATGGGAATACCATTGGGATTTTATGGACATCATGGGAACACCATGTGGAATTAATGAACACCATGGGAACATCATGGGAATTTATGGACACCATGGGAACACCATGGGAACCCCATGGGGATTTTATGGACACCATGGGAACACCATGGGGATTTTATGGACACCATGGGAACACCATTGGGATTGTATGTCACCATGGGAACACCATGGGGATTTACTGGACACCATGGGAACATCATGGGGATTTTAGACACATGGGTACACCATGAGGATATGGGGGTTTTAGACACATGGGTACACCATAATGTGGGTGATATAAATTATGGATACAATGGGAACACCATGGAGATTTAAAAGGCAGCACGGGGACACTGCCGGGTTATACTGGAGAACATGCATGTGCCATGAAAAACCATCATAGACCCAATTGCACTCCCAAGTTATAGGCAAACCTTTCTTTGATTTAATTACTTATTCGCCTAGCTGTAAATTTGAATTCAATTAAAAATATTTCCCTTGTGGCCATAGAGGTTATCAAGAATTCTATTTGTTAAGCTGACCATGGGAAACTCCTGTGGATGTTCACCAATTGAACACAATGGGATAAACACCATGGGACCCCATGGGAACACCATGGGACACCATGGGACCACCATGGGACATTTTTGTGAGAATCTCTTACAATAACGAGTGTTGTAATTGCACATTTTTGAATTTTTCTGTTTATAAGTGAAGTTAAATGATGCATACACTATTTTTTTATGTGGACAATGTGTCATTCAAACTTTGGATAATATTGATTCATTTATTATTATGGTTGGAAACATTTATGAGAAAATAAATTGGGAACACTGTGATAATATGGTACAACTTGACAAGTGGTATGGGAGCAATGATGTGGACTTTAGTCGAAGAGTGCACAAGCCACTCCTATTACGTGGAACAACCCCCATCGGAGTTCCGTGATGTGCTTTACCAATTTGGTGAATAGCACTTAGCACACAGGGTTAAAATGTGTAGGAAGTTGTTATTGAAAAATACCATGGGGCAACAATTTTTTTGAGAAATGAAAGGAAACCATACATGGGAAAAAGCCCATACAAAATTTCCCATGGGAAAAAGCCAATGGGAAAACTCCCATGGGAAAAATCCCATGCTACATGGTGTCCAATTCACCATGCAATTCCCATGGGGTCCCATTGGAAAAATTCCCATGGGAATCACATGGGACATTTCTGTAAGGGATGACTTCTAACGGCTATTTAAAGATGCAATTTTAATTTGACGTTGCGCCTTTTTTTTCTAAAATAAATATAGGACTTAACTTCTACCAATTAAGACTTGTGTACTCGATTTTTAAAAATGGGAGCTAGAAAATTTTGAATTATTTTTAAAATTTTCGTCATGGAATATGGACTTGTAGGCCTACATGTAGACCCACAAGTTGCGAGGTGGTAGCCAGATATGGATTAAAAATAAAAAAATTCTGACAGGGATTTTAATTTTTGAGGAATAATGGGGGTACTTCAAATGAGCTGCCAGAAAATGGAGTCTCATTATACACTCTCATGGCAACAGTGAGTGGTAACTGGTAAGAGTGTGCGAATTCAATGCTGAAAAATCAGGTAGGAACATTTACTTTTTCTTCAAAATACTGCCACAAATTAAAAAGAAAAATTGTGTGGGGTCCAAAATGTCACTAATTTGGAGCACCTCATTTATTTTCAGAATACAAAAAATGCAAGTGATTACGCCCACAGGGGTGGGCTAAACTACACAATCCCCGAAAATGGCAGGCCCTTATTGCATAAATTGTTACAAGGTTATACTGTGCTTTATGTGCCCGACTCAAATGTCGGGTAAATGCCGAACTTGTTACGATTCTTCAGTGACTGGTACTGCTGCAGCTTTACATGTACTTTGGGGACTTTCCAACGTGCAGTCCGAACCAACCACGATATATAACGATCGTTAACAAGCTTGACAACATGATCTACGGGATAGCAAATGTTTTAACTATCAACAGTACTGAACGAAGTGAACACAAAGTAATCGATCGAGCTGTAATTGCTAAATATTGCCGGTCTCGACCCGAGACCAGCCAAAATATCGAGACCAAAAGGGACCGAGACCGAGACCAAGACCGAGACCACAGCTCCCGAGACCGAGACCAGCAGAAAGTGGTCTCGAGACCGGTCTCGAGACCGAGACCGGTCTCGAGACCTACAACACTGATATCAATCATGGCAACTGGTAAATCGCCTGGCGCGTGACAAGCCAGAGAAATATTGTGCCTAAATTGACTTAATACCTTCCTTCCAGTACGCATACACAAAATACCTGCTTGCAAGTGACACTCGTAAATGCACTTTTCTGATTCAATTAAGATAGAGGAGAATTTGTTAAATTTGGCGGACTGCAGTTGAATAGGAAAGGAAATGACCAATAAGTACATATTGTATTTAACAAATGTAATTTTGGCATTTATCATTGACTCCATTGGGCTGTTTATACAAGTTTAATACCATTGCTCCCACAACCTCTCAGGTCAACTGAAATTGATCTAGAACCCATTGGCTGTAGGGAGGTAAATCGTTATTCCTCATTTTCCCTCTCACCTAGGTACATGTAGACAATATGAAAACAATAAGGTGACATTTGGACGACGGTGCTGAATGTGAAAGGCTTTGGATGACATTTAGTCATCTCCAAGTGATTTTTCAGCAATTTTCTAGGAAAATTATCTCAGTAAAATTCAAAAACGGGTGTTTCTTGGGGTTGTGCCAGTTGTACATGTAAATCGCTCTGCCTACAATAATAGACAGTAGAGGGGCATCCCAAAGTTAATGCTCATACAGGCTGTGTGAACGTCCAGGAAGCTCGTCCAGCAGTTACGTTTGTTGGACAAAAATGTACATGTACACTTAAGGGTAAGTCCAAGAGAAGGTCCCCTTTTTTTTCTCCTATGTAACGCCATGTATTCTTTAGTTACATAATCATCACAAAGACTAGTAATAACCACTGGAACATAAAAATTATTTTGGGTATTCTCCTTGCAGATGCCCAACAGAAGAATATCACTGAAATACATATATAGCTTTGGTTATGGGGCGTAGTGTGTGCAAATTGTTGGACTTGCCCATAATCATATTCCGTCACACAGTCACACTGGCACAGCACTAAAATGAAAGGCCTTGACCATTGAGAGAAATTGACCTAGTTGGTTCAAAATGACACCACATTTGAAGTTGTGATGCTTGTAGTTCTGAAGATTACATAAAGTTTTCCACTTTCCAGCTGTGACCACTTTTGCGTGGAGTTGCCCCAATTGTTGTTCTTTTTATTAATTATAATGAATTATTTTCATTGTGATTACAGATTGTCCCGATTGAATCTAGTATGGATGGCAACCATCACCTATTTGCTCCTCTACTGTACTTGACCATTGTTGTCTTCACATTTGTCTTGGGAAGCATGGGCTTTATTGGATATCTTCATCTTGGTGACTGTACAGCACAGGTTCTTATATGGAATCTTGCACCAGGCAGTCTTCTGCAGCTATTAGTCAGTCTGGTGGTCTGCATTGGGGTAGTTTTTACATTTCCGCTGCAGTGCTTTCCAGTCATCGAAGTATTTGAGGAACTAGTGTTTATCAAAGGTAAGACCTTTTGTTAATTCTTATAAAGAAACCAGAGTTATCCTATATGGTTTGAGATCAGGAACAAAAAGGCAATATTTCAAGAACCTGCATGTACAAATGTACATGTAAGTCCTTGAAAAAAAAATCAGAATCTCTCCTAGATTCACTGACATGTGAAACTGCTGGAGTCTGTTGAATTACCCTCATTGAAACTCCTTACCCCAATTGGGTTAATCTGATCGCCCCTTTGCATAGTTTAAAATGTTTAAGACAATCTTTCTAGCCACTATTTTCTTTAGCAAGAAAACAAATATTATGTAATACAATTTTAATGCCACCAAATAGATAATACATTACTACAACTCTGGAAATATATATTAATTAATACATCATCATCATAACAAAGCCTGAACACTGGCTGCTGGACCAGTTCTCATTTCTTCCAAAGATCGCAACATCACAAGGGCAAGACTTCATCTACATGTCAACTAATGTCAGGATACACCAGGATTATTTAACAAGAAATCAAATGGGAAATGAGAATAAATTGTGGTGTCACTTGACTTCCACAGAACAACATCAGTCTATATCTCCATCAACAGTTACAGCATATTCAGTCTTTTAAAGCATATTCATTTTTAAAGCTTGGAATCTTAACTTTATCCCGGGTAAGTATTGGTTTGATTATCAGAAGGGTTTTGAAATCATTCCTGTTCAAATAAAGGTATGTCAAAAACAAACTCAACCGATTTCAAGGAAAATAAATCATGCACATTTTTTTTCTAATGTGGAAATGCTTCATCATGTTCATGATGTGACGATCTCGTTGCCTTTTAGTTTCTGTTTTCTTTTTGAACTACACCTCAAATATAGTCACAATATTGTTCTTCGTTCAAGTTCAATGTGTTTTAAATATAAATTAACCGGGTTTTCGGTTATTGACTCAAGTTTGCATCTGATGTACCACATCATCGATTTTCCTTGAAATTGGCTGAGTTTGTTTTTGACATGCCTTTATTTGAACACAAATAATTTTATAAATCTTTTAAATATCAAACCACTCCTTGTCAGGGATAACGTTTTAAGATTCCAAGCTGTAAAATGGTGTAGAAATAATGGCGGTACATGTTTCTTGCAAAAGCCTCTAAAAAAAAAGTTGCGGGTATTTTGGGACGCGCTGTAAAGAGCTTAGGATTAAGGTTGTTGTGAACATATTAATGGTGCACACTAAGGAAATTGAAATAGGGATGACACATGAGAACAATTGGTCCATTGACAAGTGTGAAAGAAATCTACAAAAAAATGACAGCAGTCGCGAAAAAGTTTAAAGGTTTGACCAGAAAACCATCAAAAGAACAATTGGACATTATAAACAAACCTTGCCTGGCAGGGAGCGCATCATCAGGAAGCTTCCTGTTGTACATAACAGTTCATGTTCATCTCAAGGACTAGACTACCCTTGAGCTATGAAATAAAAATTTAAAAAACGGCTCAAAGTTACTTGATGGAAGGACTTACGAGTTATTAATGAATATTCATAAATACCTCAGACAGTTTAGCTATTCCTATTGGTCGAGAGCCCGTCACGTGGCCGGTATTAAACGGATGATAAAGACATGGCTAGCTGGTCTTAAACACTTTTCCAGTGTCACAATAAAATGTGGACTCCTAAAAATCCAGTGCCTCTTACCGTTTCATTGGTTGAACGTTCACAATCCTCACGTAGGCATGCGCAACACTACAAGCGAGTCAGAATTTTATAGTTCTAAATTCAAAACGCAACGCCCCAGGTGCGTTCTGCGTGACATCGCGCAGAACATGTTACGCGCGCGTCAATCTCCATAAAAGGGTTGTTTACATCTTACTCGCCAGCTGAACACTCCATTATTTTGCTAGAGGGATGTTTCAAAAAGCGTGAAGTGAACTTGTTGAACAAAATCGGGATTTTTTGAACGAATTATTTGAATTTTTTTTGCGGATAAGGTATTTATGAATGGGAATAAATATGTGCTCGGTCGGTATTTATCACTCGTTTAATACCGCTTAGAGTCTGGGTGCTGATAATTACCCTCGCCTCCGGCTCGGGTAATTATCAGCACCCAGACTCTAAGCGGTATTAAACGAGTGATAAAAACCTCCGGAGCACACATTTATTCCCTTATTAAAGAAATCAACTTTTCCATAATTTCTCAGATTTACGATGTCTCTTTCCTAAGGCAAATGTTGCTCGTCCAAGCCTGTATCTGTAAATAGTGATGCTGAAGAAGATACAACTGAGGTGGGGGTTGCAAGCTCTTCACAAGATGATGTTGGTGAATTACAGCAGCTTTTACAAGATCCTGAAGTTACTAATATCCTGGAAAAGCTTCCTGTAGCCACTCAAGTACCACAGTCAGTACGTATACTTTTTGCCTTGGACTTGTATAATACACCCATTATGAACAACAAGACATCTCTCCCCTGCAGTTATTAAGAAAGTCACATTTTCTTGTTAAGCAAGTGAAAGCACAGTATGGAAAATTCTATTCATGTCATTCCTTTCCTAAATCTGTAATAGAGTTTTTGGTTTTTATATACATGTTTGATTTTTCTTGTTTTTGTGTGATGAATATTGGAATTTTTGACAATACTCATGGATGTGTTCCACTTAACAATTGGTCACTGCTGTATGGGGGACATGTTTTGACGTCGGAGAGACACATGGGCCTTATGTACGAGTCAGCCAAATCAAATTGAAAGTGAGGTAAAATCTTAATTTTTGGAACTTGCGAAGAGAAATGAAAGTAAGTTAATACATGTAGGCCTATACTCTTGAATTCCAGTCTGCTTCAATGAATAATTTAAAATTAAATTACAGTAAAATAAGGCTGCATTATGCCTGCATAGTCTGGCGCCATCCCATTCAACAGTTAACAGTTAATGGAATATATTCAGGGAACTCAACAAAAATGGCCAACTCGTGCATGCATACATGTAAGGCCCATAGCGTCCATAATGTATTGCCTGATACGATGAGCGGCAACACCCTTGCATCATTGCACTGCTAACAATGTGCTTTTATCCATTTAATAAGTCCATTAATATCAATTAACTGTCTCATATTTTTGGCAATTTTCACTCTGATTTCAAAGGTCTCAGCTTGGAAGAGGAATATCTTGCGCACTACAATTGTTGTTGCCCAACTTGGCTGTGCATATGCCTTCAAAGATCAGTTTGCTTACTTTTCAGCACTAACAGGTAAGCGTGCACAGAAGCTTCTATCCATTGCCATGCACAACACATCATATAGGTAGACATACAGTTTGTCAGTCTCTTCGCTCCTTTGCCACTTTGCTCAAGCACCACTTCGCCTATTTCAAGCATTTCTCCCACTTGCCACTGACTTCGCCCATGCCGTTATTATAGAAACCTGTGAATTGCATCCTACTTTGCCTCTCAGGCAATTATCTTTGCAAAATGCATGCAGCTAATTTTTTTACTTCAAAATACAAAGAGGTGGAGATTAGCATTTCAAAATGTTCAGTTTTTCCTATACATGTACGTAGGCCTAGATGTCAATCAACTGCAACAACATTGATTGTTGACACACACATTCAGTACACCAGTGGCTCTGTACCATGGCATCCACTCCCTTTGATTTTTTTTTTGGATTGAAGAAGAGACTGCTGTAATATGAGAAGTATTTACTTTAGTATTTTTCCACAGCGGTCTCTGGTTTAAGGGTTCGATTTTCTTTTTGAGCTTTTGGCATAAAGCATGTGGAGCTGCAACCTGTATTGCAAGTCGAGTCTGGAGAGGGCATCTGCAAAGTCATCGTTGCGACCTGCTAAATGAAATATTGAATATGTCCAATACTTCCTGTCCCTAAAGACTTCAGATAGGCAAGAGTGCTTATGTTGTAGGAGATGATTTCGATTGATTTCCCTTGTAATAGGGAGAATACAGAGTGAAGTGCCTTTGGCATTGTGCACTTTACCCAATAATTTGAGGACATGTTGCTCAATCTTTTGTTCCAGAGAACTGCTGCATTTTCCCTTAAGAATCCATGCTTCCCAACCTGTGGATGATACACATCAATATTGTTGCGTTCTACCAGTGTTCTCCAACATGTAGAACAAACCTGGCGCCCCGCCATGCTTTCTGCGGCGCCCGCCATGTTTAAGAAGTCCCCGCCAAGCTTTAAAATCCTGCCGCCAGGTTTAATTTTTTGACTCTACAGTGTACATTTACAACTAAAATAATTGATTTCAGTTGTTTTTCCACACATTAACAATGTATTTCGATGTCATCCCAGCCCGATCGGGGTTGTCTTAAAATCTCGCTGAATCAATCACACGCACGGCCGGCCGTGCAAACACCAGCGGTTCCCCATGCACTGTACGTACTATACTTACTAGGTACGCACGATGTACACACACTGACAACTGAATCCCCAGTTCCGGAGTGTACAGTGAGTCTACAGTGTACATTTACAACTAAAATAATTGATTTCAGTTGTTTTTCCACACATTAACAATGTATTTCGATGTCATCCCAGCCCGATCGGGGTTGTCTTAAAATCTCGCTGAATCAATCACACGCACGGCCGGCCGTGCAAACACCAGCGGTTCCCCATGCACTGTACGTACTATACTTACTAGGTACGCACGATGTACACACACTGACAACTGAATCCCCAGTTCCGGAGTGTGCCGATACTTCAAGTAGCGACAACCCCGCCGCAAAAATATATATCTGTATAAGTACACACACACACCAGCAGGTGTACGTACGGAAGATCTTACGTGCAGCCAACCGACTTTCTTTTTCTCAGTGCTTGCACGCGCGGTACACAATATAATACGCATTGATGTTTTTGTACGAGGCAAACGAGCTCGAGGCCAAAACACGCGTGCACATGGTGTTCCGATCATGCCGATTGTCAAAAGTTATAAATGGCGATCGTGTATGGGCCCGGTTCCCTAAGAGAACAAAATCCACTTTTAATTTATTTGACTTACCAAACTAGTTGGCGACATTTAAGAACATACAGGTAGGTCATAAATAGAGGGAAATTTGGGGGGAAAATGATGATGACAACGACAAAACGCAACATGAAAATAAAGATGACGATCGCACGGCACCACCCATAAAATCGCGTTAAAAAAAACGTAATTTGTATCCCATTTTGTTTTTCAAAATTACAAAAAGGTGTCATTTGATCTGAGAGAAGTCTGCTTTAGGTTCAAAAGGAAATTTTTGAATGCTAAAAAAATCGGGGGAACTGGCCTGGAGAATCGCCTCAGATTGCACCACAGAGCATCTAGAATCCAAAATTTTCCCGGGGCCCTTAAGCGGGCCCCGGACCCCACGCCGTAAGGGCTTCGCGCTCCGCGCTCGCATGAGTCCCCGCCGACCCCAGCGCCAACCTTTAATTTTCAAAGTTGGAGAACACTGGTTCTACATGTCATTATTGTATTGATGTGTGGTCCGAATTGTTGAGGGCATTGCAGTCAATCCAGGTCCTTTATCGCTGCCGATGTAAAGTTTCAAATTGTGTAGCCAACAGGTCTTGGTTGAAAAGACAATAGACGGGTGTAGATATATATATGAACCTTTTATAAATAGTTAATGTGGAACGATGCTCACCGGATTAGTTGTACCCGAGCTTTCGGACATCCGTCCTTCTTCATGGGGTGTTGTTCTTGCATGTTTTGAACGTGGAGAATTCCACGTTCAAACCACCAGGTGAGAGCGTCCCCAGATCGAATATGAGACGCTACTCTCATTCTTTGCGTTGTGCGTCAGTTGTTGTCATAGTTACGACGCACACCTGCATGTCGTCACAAGTGTAAGGATGTGTGTTGAAGTGTTGCGCTACGGAGAGTGGCTGCCAAATTCTCATGCGCAGATGTTCGGTAAAGTTGGCGAGGCGTCGCTTATGCGCGTATCAAGTGTCCCCGTCCCCCCCCCCCCCTTATCCATAGCGCAACACTTCAACACACATCCTTACACTTGTGACGACATGCAGGTGTGCGTCGTAACTATGACAACAACTGACGCACAACGCAAAGAACGAGAGTAGCGTCTCATATTCGATCTGGGGACGCTCTCACCTGGTGGTTTGAATGTGGAATTCTCCACGTTCAAAACATGCAAGAACAACACCCCATGAAGAAGGACGGATGTCTGAAAGCTTGGATACAACTAATCCGGTGAGCATCGTTCCACATTAACTTTTTATTTTCTATGCTCCACACAGTGCTACACAGCATCCCTACATTTGTTCTATGAACCTTTTATTGTATTTCCATTAGGAGAGAGGATATAGTATATCCTCCTAGTATATTGCATCTAGCCCATATAGGGCCTCCCACTTCCTTTTTTTTTTTTAAAAGGCAGGACGCTAAATATGGTTTTTTTTGTGCTTTTTAAATTTCGCCTTATAGTCCTTATGCACGAATGTATGTTGTGTGGTGTTTATATTCATTAACCGCACTGTCACAAAAGCGCATGTGTAACTACATGTAGGTCCCGCTGGCTTCCAAACTGGATTAGTAGCGACATTTCTTCAAATGTCAACTGATGACTGCAAATGGTGCAAAAAGCTTATACTCGATCGTAACCCCATCTAAAAACACGTTAAAATTGTGCAGCAGCAGGATTCCAGTCAAACCAGTGAGTTTGGTGGTTTTGAGACATCATCTTACATTTGTACATTGAAAAAAAAAATTCATTTCGCCAACACGCATGGCTACGGCAATACGTGCGCATACCAGAAACTGGAGACTTTTTGTTTTTGGCCTTATCAATTCACTTTTTAAATATATTTTTCGGGGTGCCATACCTATATACCAACTTTAAACAGGGTTCGACCTTAACTTTTTTTTCAGCAGGGCTACTGAAACCGACTCTTAACTAGCCCGCGGGCATTTTCACTAGCCCGCATGTTTTTCTTTTATAGAGTGTCTCATAAGCAACAATGTACATGTAAAACGTGTATCCTTGAGGCAATCTTGTCAGTGTTTATAATAAACAGATCTAACAATTTAACTCTTCTTAACAAAAAAAATTAGACACAAATTGATACAGGTCTGCTTTCTTGATGTGATGATTTATTTTATCCTGTCCTTTCATCTTTGCCGTAGCCCAAACAGTTTTGACTTGCCAGCCTGGCTACTTAAGGAATAGTTTGACTAGCCCGCTGCTGTTTTGACTAGCATTTGGCTAGCGGGCAACTAAAGTCGAACCCTGTTATCTTTGCTACTTCCTTAAAATTGAAATAAGGAGACTTTTGCAACTGCATAATGTAATAATAAAGCAACCAGGCAAAAACAAGTTTACATTGGCTGCCTTACTGTACATTCTAAACAAGAATGTACATTGCATTGGTCCTACTCTTACACAACACTGACATGGTGTGTTTAGAAGCTGTGTGTGGATGTATCATGAATAGATGACTAATACTACCAGTCTTTCATTTATATCATTTACACAGGAGCCATTGGAAGTACACTGCTTGCATTTGTCATCCCGGCTCTTCTACACATCAAGCTGAAGAGACAAGAGTTAGGAAGCTTCATCATTATCAAGGATGTAATGTTGATTATCTTTGGGATAGTTGGAGGAGTTTCTGGTGTGTATGCATCAGTGTTATCAATTATACAGCATACAAATACACCATGTAGTGCCTCATGTTGACAATGTTTCCTAACTTTGGCTTGACAAAGACCTCAAGGACAGACTTTTTAATATTGTTAGACAGTAAAAATTGTCATCACGAGTCAGGAATAGTTGTCAATTACCAGATATGCATAAAGCATGTAATGCTAACTGTTTTATACATCGGTGAAGGGCAACACCTAATTACCTAATTTGATTTACTATGTGGGTTTTTTTGCCTTTCAATATTGATACAACTACGGTGCAAGCAAAAAAGAAGTGACTGAGTTAAAAGAAAAACATTAACAGATATTTTGCGGACTCCTTTTTATGAAAATTCAGCGAAATATTGAGTGTTCAAACCTCAAGGGCACAGGTTCAAAATTTGACTTAAACAGAGTTTTGAGTTAAGCAGGGTTGTATATCATTGTTGTACTTCTGAAGGCAATGGACTCTGTTTGACTTAACAGTTGGTTTTTGGTGGTTGTTTTTTTAGTCTTTAATATCGGAGTTTTACTTTATGAGATTTCACTGTAACGTGAATAAAGTACATTTGCTTGACTAATAACTGTGAAAATATTGCATAATAAGTATACTTTAATCACAAAAAGTTATTTCTATTTTAATAGAAATACCACAAAACTCAGCTTTCCATCCTGATCATCTACCGATATGCATTGAGGAAATCCCTTAAATACAATGAACTAAAACTTAACAAGGAAAACGGACAAAACTTACCATTCTCATTTCAGACGAATGAGACTTGATTTATTCCTCATCTACTAAACGCAACAATCTGACAGTCAACATGTACTTGTAAAAATAATGGTTCAGTCTTGACTCAAACTTATATCTCATTTGAATTTGAATCTGTGTGGGTGTGTGTAATTACGGGTTTTCATTCAGCTGTAGAGTATTAGGCATTCTATGGACAACTAAAAAAAAGGGAATTTTAGTAAAACATGCCACTTCTGAGAGCAAGGATCAATTTCAGTAATTGTTTTTCTTCAGATGAGTGGAAGAATGTGCTCGTTTAATACGTGCATCATTAGTGTGTCAAATTCAATGGCTTTTTCAGGGAAACAAAATCATTGCACTAAATTTGGAATATATTCTGGAGAAATAATTTCTGAAAAAGGAGGCATAAATTGCTGGTCTCAGCTGTGGTATTGGAATGCATTTTATACATAGTTTTAAGCAATGGTTTAATTTATAGTTTATTATACGTTTACAAATAGGTGAAGACACGGTACCACAACTGTAACATGTATAAAATTACATATGGGTATCAATTCCAGTTTTATTGCATTTTAGAATTAAGTTGCAAGTTGGAAAGACTCAGTCAATGACTCGACTTGAGTCAGAATTTTTGCCGACTTGACTTGAGTCACTGCAAGCAAATGGCTCAACTCGACTCCCAATACTCGACTCAGTCATGTCTCGACTCAGTCAGTCACTCAATAGTAGAGTCCCAAAACTACGCCACATTATATTTGCGGTGACTTGCAGTACAAAGTTACTTATGTTTGGGTACTTTGCGTTACCGTCGAGTTGTGGCTGCTTATTGCATACAATGCATATGTTGTATGACGGATTCCTATCTCATGGTTTTATAATGTAGTGCACAAAATACTATACCGGAAACAAACTTTAATGCGTTTCATCATCGGCTTCGGTCGATTTCTTTTTCCCTGGACAGAACTCTGGTTAATTTTTGTCCTGCTTTGAAAAAATATACATTGTATTATATACATTATTAATAATAATATTACGGGTTCTTATATAGGGCTTTTAACTAAGATCAAAGCACTTAACATCATTATAGGCCCTACAGATTTCTATTTAATCAGAAACACTTTTGTATGTTGCAATTTGGTTTTTGACTTTGTCAGTGTAATTCTTTTTCAAAAACCCCAGTCAAACAGAGATAAACTGAAGTTTTACTTCTTGTTAACTGTTAAGTAGATCTTTGGTAAAAACGTCCAGCAGAAGCTGTTGGGTACCATGCAGCATATCTTATGTCTTTGGATCTTAATAATAAACTGGTGCCCTGTGTGCCTTCTTCCATTCTGTAATTTATTGAATGGTGTTCAAATATCAGTGACTGGAATTTTCTCTACCATAAATTTGACCCGACTCAACTGGACTTTCCTTAAAGGGTAGAGTGATGACAAGGAACAACGTACGCAAGCTGGCAAACTCATCGTGGGGTACCAATGCATCCACACTGCGGTCAACTGCTCTTGCGCTGTGCTACTCCGCTGCAGAGTATGCTTGCCCTGTCTGGGAGCGATCGACCATGTGAAGAAAGTTGATGCGCCAGACGCGGTTCTAGAGCCAATATTTGGGGGGGGGGGGGGTTCGGCAGGGTGGATCCAGAATTTTTTTCAGGGAGGCGTGCTGAAATGTAGACCGGTTATTTTCTCCAGACACTAAGGCCTCCACAAACGCTTGGGGATGGGGGGGGGGGGGGGGGGGGGGTTGGGGGGGGGGAGCTCGTACCATATTTTTTTAATGGGGAGCGCTGATAAAATCCTACAATCAGGCACACTATATTAACTAAAAGTGTAGAAATGCACCCTTCTCACGACCATTTATTTAGGGGGAGACGGTTGGCATGTACATTCTTACATTTTGCTAGTGATTTTTTTTTATGGCATTTTTTGGGGGAGGCTAGACAAAAAATTTGGGGGGGGGGGGGCTGATTAAAGCAGGTAGTTTAGTCACAGGTAGTTTAGTGCCATTACTATATTTAAACCAAGTAAGTTTTTTAACAATAATTTCCCTTGGAAAAACTACTTATTTAAAGGGAATGTACAACTTTGCTTTTGCTGTAATTTTCAGAAATAATGGATTTGAAGGAATAAAATGTTGTAGCAGATATTCTTACACTGACGTGTTTCACGTTTTGGGCACGTAGATGCTGGAAAAACCAAGAAAACCAATCATGTGCTTGTAGTCTGGTTCCCTGACCCCACTTAAGATGAAAAGGAGCAATTTATAGATGTTAGGGCATTGTAAGGTCAGAGAATCAGTGGAGCTGGCTTGTACTCAATTGCAAAGAAAATGCAGAATAACTAAATTTGAAAAATGAGCAGATTTTGAAAAAAGCCTGTTTTCTCCAACGCTGGTCGGCCGACCAGCGTTGGCCGAAATTGATACAAAACTTTACTTTAAAGGGAATGTACATCATTGGCTTTTGCTGTAAAAAACAACTCGGCATAAACTACTGTAAAACTGGGGGAATTCTGTTCAGTTCACTGACTTGCACTTATATGGTCTGTCTGCCACTACAATTGAATGACAACTTTATCGGCACAATTTGGATCAAATATGTGCATGGTCTTCTAAAAATGCGCTGTACTTACTACACAAGCAACTTCAAACAGTTCAGTGTAGTATCAGAAGTTGGGAGGATGGGAAAGCACCAATAATATGGGAACAAATTCTTGTACAGAACAATTTGCAAGGAGGGAAAAGTTAATCGTAAGATTAAACAATTGTTGATTCAGCTTTGATGTGGGATATGGCATTTTTAAGTTAACACATGAGGGGCGCTTCACCATGATGTGGGATATGCCAATCCCACATTACAGCAGTCAACAATGGTTAATCACATTGTTTACTATCAAATCTCTTTGTTTGTTCAGTGAAGACTGATGTGCAATATCTTTTCAACTTTTTTTGTTTTTGTTTTCTCTCTTTTGTAGTATCCTTACATGATAGCTATGTATTAAGCACCATGTGCTCTGAAACCACACACCCAGACCCAGACATTACCTCATCCACATTGGAATGCATGAACCCCAACTTACTAAATGAATAATGAATAAGGCCCCAACTTAGATCAGATTGCACCCTAGAACAATGTAGCCCTTTGATAAGCATAGAACCTCGTGTGAAGTACTGAGACACAATAAACCAAGCAAGCATCGAAGCAACAACTATTATCCATGCGCTAGTGACAAGCTCACTACGGTACATTACATCTTTGAGTGGTCGGGCCATGGAGCTATAAACACTTTTTATAGCTCCATGGTCGGGCACAACCCAACCACTGATTGGAGTTCTTACGATTAATCTTCTTTCTTTCTTTCTTTCTTTTTTTCCGGACAGTAAGTTTCCTCATGTTTTCTCCTAAACGGTATATGGTATGAACTTGTAACTTAAACATATATCTACCCTTGTCCCTAGTGGTGCATATTACTCTGACGTCATGATGACGTCATCGGGTGTCAAAATACAAGCGATTTTCGCTGAAAAATTGATGATCTTCTTTCACGTATAACTCTTGACCAAAATGATCAATCATGTTCCAACCTTGTAATCGGACGGACCATTAACTGATGAAGAATTTTTGTTGTGTACGTGAACTCACTTGACCTTTACTTCCGGTTCTTCCGGAAGGTCAAAGTTAGTTGAATTCAAAATGAAGACATTAGCCTGAAAAAAAAACCGGTTAAAGGGAATATACAACATTTGCAAACATCGAAAAACAAAACTACCAAGTTTTTGCGAAATACCTTAATAGGATGTTGGTAAATGACAGTCTAAAGCATCCTGTAAAATTATGGCACCTGGTATACTGTCATTTTCAAGAAAAGTGGTATTTTTGTATCAATTTCCAACGCTGATCGGCCGATCAGCGTTGGAAACAACTGGCTTTTTTTCAAATACCGGCCCCAATTGACCATTGCACTTGTTTGCAATCGATTACAAACCTATGAACGGGTACGAGCCAGCTAGACTGGTTCCCTGACCTTACAATTCCCCAATGTATGTAAACTGCTCTGTTTCTTCTTATATGGAGTCAGGGAACCAGACTACAGGAAAATGATCGTTTTTCTTGGTTTTTATAGCATTTTCAAACCCAAAACCTTCAAAAAGTCAGTGCATCTATATTTGCTTTATATTTCCAACCCCCCAATTCCATCCATTTCTGAAAATTACAGCAAAAGCAAATGATGTATATTCCCTTTAACGATATGATCACAAAACCTAGTGTGATCTTGTACCATGTTACGAAATTGTTATAAATTTTGTTACATCATCATGACGTCATCAGGTATCAAATTACAAGCGATTTGATGGCACGATTTGACAAAATAGTTTGACCTATATCTCTTGAACTAAATAGAGTATCGTGTTCATTTTTCCGTGAGGTTGTAGACGGTGCCTTGAGCAACATTTCTTATTCCCGGGGACAAAACTGCTTGACCTTCACTTCCGGTGTTACCGGAAGTGCAATGGAAATTGAATCTACTCTAAAACGGAAGCATTTTACTGCAGACAAATACATATTGAAGTGTTTAGTGAGGAATGCCAAACACAAAAACATAGTTTTGACGTCATCCCACGAAAGGGCGCCCTCTAGCGGCACATCAAAAAAGTTTAATCTTTTGAAATGTTAAAACCCTCAATCCAATTTTTATGAAATTGCCCCTAGACCAGAAGTTACTGTAGGGAGATTTCATCAATGATCAGTTTATTTTTAATTTAAATCCATCATATGATCCCTGTCTCACGACCTTGTTTTTTGCCCACAAAATCTGTTACACTTAATATTGATCTATTGCTTCCAAATACTGTGACGTCATCAAACCGGAAGTTGGGTGTTATTATTATATACACTTTATTTCCATGCGTTATTTTTACTTAATGATAAACAAGTGTACTCCCTTCCCTTCTTTGACTGATGACGTCATCAAACCGGAAATAACTTGTACGTGTACCTTAATATTTACTCAAATGTATCATATCCTAAAAGACGCATTCTTTTTGAACAAAATAATTGGTACTGGAAATGTTAAAGTTCTTGATCCTTTTTTCTGACATAAACATATTCATAACTTAACTGGACAATGGCTAATGAAATAGTTGTCTACCCGACCACTCTGCCAACCTATAGTTTATTTTGAAATTTTCCTGAACAAAATTTTCATTCCGCTTTAAAATTCTTCTTTGAAACTTCCCTGCTATTTTAGGATTGGTTAATGCCATGCACGTACAATAAAGAAGATATTAGAATGGTTGGCATCCGCATGTACATGTACAACAACAAAGACAATACAGATAAGAAAATGAGAATCTCCCCAATGGGAGTAATAATTGTAGGCAATATGCATATAATATATATATCGATTTGATAAGAAAAGAAAGAAATCATTACCAAATAAATAACTGAATAAAAACGCAATGTCAAGTACACATGAACAAACTAACTTTGCCCATCAATAAAATACAAACTTAACATTTATCTGGGGTGTACATCATATTTTGGGATATTTCCTGTGCAGAACCAGAATTTTTTATTCTGTTTTTAAAACACCATTTTATTGAAGTATTTTTCTTTAATTATTTTCATAGAAGATAACTGTCTAAGCATCTAACAGTGGGTTATGCAGCCAACATTTGTGAAATTTGATGTGTGACCCACGCAAAACAGCTAGTAAAGTGTCACAGCGTAATGTCAAAACTTTTATAGAAGTAAACTTTTTAGATGATTTGTAAAACATGCTGCTTGAAGTGTATTTTCTGGTTATCAAGTTCAGAAATGACTTTTCAATTTGGAGATCGTGTTGACACTAGGCCCAAGTTGGCCGAATCCTGTAATCCTTTCACTGTGTCCTCATGGAATAAGAGCAAGAGCTTATAGTGGTGAATAATCCCAAACAACACCCAGTATACGTGTTCTAGTGCATTTGACAGCTGGTTTGTATAATTGGCCACCACCACAATATATATTGAGCAAATTCACTCATTTAATGGTAATATACAACATTTGCAAACATCAAAACAAAAAAAAATACCAATCAATATGAACAACCTTACTTGACTGTAAATGAATGATAGTCTGATGCATCCTGTGAAATCATGGCACCTGGTGTGCTGTCATTTTCAAGAAAAGGGAATTTTTTTTAATCAATTTCTAAAGATGACCGATCGACAATCGTTGGGTAAGAAAAAGGATTTTTTTTTCAAATAATGCCCCCAATTTACCAAATTTATTAACCCACATTTTGTTTGCAATCACATTCAGTTGCTCATCTGTGAATGGGTGCAAGCCAACTAGTCTGGTTCCCTGACCTAACAATTCCCTGACATCTCTAAATTGCTCCGTATCGTCTGAAATAGGGGTCAGGGAACCGGCTACAAGAACAGCATTTTTTTTGGTTTTCTCAGCATCTATGAACACAAACCTTTAAATGGGTAAGTGTAACAATATTTGTTATATAACTGACATACAGATCCTTGTCATTTGATTGGTGGAACTCACATCACGTGACATTCATTATTGCTCCCATTCACGCCGGGGCTCAAAAAGTCCCATTCGCCTATGGGGAATGGGATTTACTATTCAACAGTTAGAATTGTCATGGCCCACCTCCATGTAGGGGGACGGAAGGAGGTCGGTCCAGCTAACAAAAGCGGACGAGCACTCACTGACAAGGAGGGACAAGCAAATCAAAATCCGCAGGACAACAGCACGCTGTGGCTTACATGCAGTAAACGCAATATGATTTATGTCTATGTCTAAGTCCCTTAAAAAATACACATCCTGGCAATGTAAAGTTCTACCATCATTTGAACAGAGTTAATATCAATGTTATTGTAAAGAATATAAATTATGAGGGAACAAGAGTTATTATTATTAGTAACCTTGGACTATACTTTTTCAAGGAATGGATACGGTATCATCCGTCCTTGCGCGCGAAGCACAAAGGTCAGTAATGTTTTACATAGGAATATGTTAATAACCCAGATACAATGCAAATTGGGTACGTCACTCTACACATGCATAAATGAATAAAAGTTAAGAAAGAACGAATGAGGTCGCCCTTGCTTAGGCACGGTTCCCTACAGAATCATCCTTGTTCCATGGCGCGGTATTTGCATGCAAATGCATGATGGTGTGCACGTTGAGCGTTGAGCGTTGAGCATTGCGCGTAGCACGTATTGTTACCAAGAACCAGTAGCTACAGATTTCGATTCAAACATTTCTTGAGGGGTGGTTTGGAAGAGAGAAATATATTTTCAACCTTTTAACTGAAAATCAAATGACAAGGATCTATACGTCAGTTATATTAAACAAATATTGAGTGGCTTTAAATTGTGAAATGGGAGGAATATTATCGCTCGGCAAAATCCGGACTTTCCATTTTACTTGACTTCGTCTCGTGGAATAAAAAAAGTCCAGATTTTACCTTGCGATAATATTCCTCGCATTTCACTCTGAGCCACTCAATATTTGTATACTATACTAACCCCAATATTCATCCATTTCTTGAAAATTACAGTAAAAGCAAATGCTGTATATTAACTTTAAAGGTAGAGTAGATCATTTGTTATTTGTGTATTTGTTTCATTTGAAGCAACCAGGATGCTGATTTTGGGCGTAATTCAAAACATGACTCAGCAACTTTTGAATTGAAAAGGATATCCTAGAATATTGTTTTCTAGAAATGTACAGCATTCACAGACCTAAAACTTCACCAGGTTAGTTGTTAAGTGCCTGTCTTTGTATTTTGAGCACTTTTGTTCAGGCACTCAAAATATAATGATGGGTGCTTAACAACTAACCTGATGAGTATTCTAGGATCTCAATTTCAATTCAAAAGTTACTGAGTCATGTTTTGAATTACGCCCAAAATCGGGGTCTGGGACACGTTCTCATTCAGCCGATTGCAGCTACGCGATGTCATGCACTGAACCAACAAATAATAGCAACTGTGCGCGTGTGTATGTCGTGTCAACGTTTGCGGGTTCTATTCACGGATTCACGCAATGGACCGATCCAGTAAGCCCCTCTCACTGCACACGTGAGCAAATTAACACGTGCTCCTCTCCAATGCCACACTGCATTTTCCTGCCGCGCGCATCATACGCGCGTGCACGCATGTCGGACTTTTGTGCACGCATGTCGGACATAAGTCACGGCTGTGATTGGTCAGAATAAGATGGGGCAGTGCTTACTGGATCGGTCCATTACAAAAGAACTACTAACGGAAATTCCAAAAATGCTTCACTTGAGAAATCTTTGGAAACGACCTTCTTTTATAGTTTTCTTCACAATGACAGCAATATAGTTTTCTAACAATAATTTGGTCAGTAACTTTTTGGCTGGATGCAAATGATCTACTCGACCTTTAAACTGATCAGCCATGCAACTAAGAATTTAGAGAAAACGAGGAAGCTCCAAACCACACAAGAGTTTGTATAGTATTCAATTGGTAATGGCATTCATGAGAAGTAAAAAACGAGCAAATCAGCGGATCCGAGGAAAAGTTGCATGCCTGACCGATGATAACAAAATAATGCAAAGGCAAAAAATGACAGAACACTTTTACCATGAAAAACTTTTAAAATTTAAGCCGTTAATTTTATACTTCTCTAAATTCACGCTACAATCCCTTGCTGGAAAGTTGGATCATTCTCTGTGTTTAAGAAGACCAATGTATTGCTAGCCTCAGCGAGGTCACTAATAGATACTCTACCTCGCTGTTGCATAAACTTAGCAACACCTTCCAGCTCTTCTTGAGAGATGAAGATAAATTTACCACGATCATCAATGACTCCAGTAAGCAAACCTTGGTCTTGCAAGTCTTGAACCCGATGAATGGCCTCCTGACATGACATGTAACGCAAGCATAACCACCATTATACATTTCTTTACTCATACATTTCTTTGTTTAAAGATGTTCTTTACCTGTAATAATTCACAGCCCTCTTGCATAATGACCATGACAATAATTCAACAAATAAGTAACGTTTTAGAAATATATAAAATCAAAATATTTAACAATTGTTGACTGCTGTGATGTGGGATATGACGTTTTGAACACCCAAGGGGCGATGCGCCCGAGAGTGTTGAAAACGTCATATCCCATATCACACCAGTCAACAATTGTTTTGTTATACCTATGTCTTGGATTTTTGGACTGATGAACATACATATGTACAGGCAATGGGGGTCAATGATTTACATCCTAATGAGAGTAAATAAATACTAGGAGGAAATAGGGGGCAAAATAGCCGGTCGGGACGGAGAAAGAGAAAGATAGTATGCTAAATAATGGGACACAAGATGGTTATTGCAACTGACTTTAAATTGGTCTGCAGAGGACTGTGATTTAATAGACTGATCTAAGTCCATTCCACAAACGAGACCCGTAGAACTGTAAGGTGCTTAGGGAATGTAATGTGCGGGGTGAATGGAACATACAGATTATTGCGTGATCAAGTGTGGTACTGGTGAGTATCACGGACTGAAGAGAAATATATAGAGAAAAAGCTGGGAAGAAGGAAAGAGAGATTTGACTTCCCAAAATGAAACCAAAGTTAAACATTTTGCTGTAATTTCTTCAATTCGGTAGATTGAGAAGCAAAATTTAAAATTCTAGACTCTATCGTCAATTTTTTACAACCAAAAATATGTCAGTTTTCTAATATCCAAAATGTACTGGAAACGTTTATGACGAATAAAAAAAATCACGCTCTCGGAACTTACTTTCATCGCAACCTTATTCCACGCAAAATAACCTTGTTCACAAAACACAGATACTAGATTCTTTAACCGTGAACTTGATATTTTATTCCAAGTCTTTCACAGTGGAAAGGTGAATACTAACATCCATGAAGGGAGTTCAGATTACCTGTGTCTTCATGTTGAACTCGCCACCAAGGTCCTCCAACAGTACAACTTTTTTCAGTTTGATGTAGTTTATGAACTCCTGTAGTAGATTTTGTGACTGCATTGCATCACAAAGAGAGAGAAACAGAGACAGAAATATTTTGGGAGATGAGTTTATCAACAAATCGGCATGTTTCTTATTTTGTACTTTGGGCAACACTCTTGAAATTTAGGTTCGTTACCAAATGTTGTCCACATGATGAGGCCTTTCATATCTTTTATCAAGTTCAAGTAATTTGGTTTCCTACACTTGTCTAACATGTTTAATCCAAAATATTATCTATAACATGTTTAAATTCAGGGATGATCCTATTAGTTAGTTGGACTAGTCTGAGGCTAATACAACTCAGTTTAAATTCATGGTTTCTGAAGTACCTGACAAAAGAACATTCTAAATGCAAATTCATCAAGTTGTCTACATGAGCCCAACATAACATTGTCAGAAACCGACTGGGAGTCTCCCAAAACCTCTGTTGAGTGTTTCATATACTTTCCAGATTTCTATAGGAGTGCGCAGTTTGTCAGTTGCATGTAGGACAAGCTGGTCACTGTTTTATTTCATGTAAGTTTACCATTTTTCAATATCTGGAGCTGACTTTTCAAGGCGATGTGTGGCCACAGTATGTCAGTGCAATGTTGGACAGATCAGTGACTCAATCATTTGTTTCCTATACATGTAAATGTAAGTGTCATTCAAACAACATTTATAGATTATTATTTATATCAGGTTTCCAGTGGTAAAAATCTATCAGTGTATTATATGCTTTCGTAAAAAGTACCCGGATGAGTGCAATATTACAATTTTATGTTGTCTCCATCTGGGCATTTTAACAAATTTCGCTGGTTCCCGCACAATCAAGAGCATAGAAACTTACAACTGCCAACTAGTCAACAGAGTGTAGCGCGTGGTACCTTCACACGATGCAGCAGGGTATACCCGCACTGCTGTCAACAACCACAATGGCAGCTTTGAGTGGTGCCAAATTTGCTTCAGTATTGAAATGAAGCATATTTAACACAATTTGAGAAATAAAGACAATGTCCTGAAATTTATTTCTTGCGGATTAAGTCAGCCTGATATAAATAAAAAATAATATTGGATGGTTTTTTTTCAGGGGATACAATAATATGTATGTATTGCACTCGCTATAATAATATTGCACTCGTCTTTCGACTTGTGCAATATTGTTATACCTCATGCAATATATTCTTGTATCCCCCGGGATAAAGCCATCCAATATCATATTAAGTAACATTTATATGTGTATATACAGGGTGGATAAAAAAAAACCAAACCGAGACACAATTGGAACAGAAGTAGGGCACACGTGAATCAAAGGGAGATATCCTCTGTTAGGGTTAAATCTCCTCTTTAAAATGACACCCTGATCATGTCCTTACATTCACGGTTGACTGAGCAGTGACCAATTTTATGAAAGGGTTTATTTAGAGAATTGCACAACTTTTCATGGTGAAATCTCTTTTTTTCCCCACCTGCCTTGATTGGCAACCATAGCCTTTCAGTCTGTGACAAATGACACCACAAAAACCACAATTGAAAAGTGGCGCAATTCTCTAAATAGACCCTTTCATAAAATTAGCAATAATATCTCGGTTTCATTGTTTTTTTTATCCACCCTGTATACATTTTAGTATTTTAACTTATTTTTTATTTCAATGTTGCCTAAGAGGGTGTTTAGCCCATCATTTTGAAGAAAATGAGCACCAGTAGTTATTTAAAGGGTTTTTGACATCAAAAGGTTGTTCTTCAAGTGCAGCCATTTCCTTTTTCATTATGGAAAGCAGTGCGAGTGTGATATTGTATTCAACGGACCAATTAGGCTTGAGCGGTTCCAATCTTCCTGGAGCCTATTCCGGTTCCCAAAAAAGAGCCGGTTCCAAGTCAGAATCGGCTCCCGGAAAATTAAATGAAAAACATAAGCTCTGGAAATTACATGTAAAGAATAACTGTGACACCTTGTGAGGCCGTGCTCCGTGGATTTTGACTAAAATACATGTTACTCCACTACACATGTCTTCAAACAGTGTCTTTTTCCTGTGAAACTGCGAGCTTTATTACTATATTCTCTGTTCCTTTCCCATGATTTTATTTACCGCGGCGACACCACCATGCCACCGAGAATAAACGATTCACTGCACAGCACAAGTACACGCATTAAGCACGTACACACTGGTACCTTGCTTACAATGAACATGTGGAACCGGTCGAGTGCTGGAATCGGCTCTGACGTACCCATGTACAAATTTACCCAGCTCTGATTTGAACGAGTCATGGGTTGTCCGGATCGACCGCTTTATTATCTAGCAGGTATAGCAGCCTATTTTTCACCATGTGCGCCGATCAGAAAGAAATTTTAGAAATGAAGCAAAGGAATAATTCACTTTCATGCAACGGTAGATTCGATACTCGTATGGAGCTGGGGATGTTTACATGTGGCCCGGCTCAAAGCTCACAAAATCCGAATCTCAAAACAGCGCTCTGCGCGCTGTACTCGGTACACGGGTCATTAGGGCCGATTTCCGCGTCACTCATCACATCAGAGCCGGGGCCATCAGAGCCGATTCTAGCACTCAGAGCCGGTGTGACAAAAAAATTGACTCATGTGAACAACGGACTTCTTTTTCATGATCGTTCATTTTTCTAATTATCTATGCAGGAGCATGCGCAATACCACCATGGGGTCCGTATTTTATAAGCCTTAATTCACGTTATACTGATTATCCAAACGGACTAGTATTGGGTTCAATGCACTGCATGCATGCATGCACGCCTCGTGGCCCGACCGCAAACATCGTAGGGCGGTTTGTCTCCGATCTCCGTGATGTATTTGGAGTCTGTGGTTTTTCCTCGCCACTGTTTTGACTAGCAAGATTAAATGATGTCCCGGTTGTAACCAGGTCGGGTTTCAGTACTTACTTTTACCCGACAGGTTCCTTACTCCAGCATTCATTTCATAACTTTTGTAACTTCGTGGTTGTGTCATTTCACATGTGAGCAGCCATTGCGATCATGCTTTTTGCCTAGTGCCCTCTCCAGCCAACTAAACATTTTTTTTGCACAGCGCGCGCCACCTAGAATTTTGCCCGCTACTTTTTAAACTATGCAATGGGCGTAGCGAGCAGGCAAGTTTTGCATTCCACCGCGCTTTGTTTAAGAGAAACAGCTGGCATTCCGTGCGTTTCGGTATAGTTTTCTTGTAGGGCTAGCTGTGAAATAACTTTGATTTCGATCTAACACCTCGTTGCGTTCAGATCATCATTTTGCGAGCACTTACACTCTCCACTTTTATCTGCAAATTTTGAGTGCGGCTCCCCGATAGCAGTAAAATATTTGTCTATTTTGCTGCCGATCATCGATTTGACATCGACTGTGGCATGAACGTAGATCATCCCAAGTGGTGAGTAAATCCCTTGTCTGATATTTAACTTTTCATGCCTGAATCTTTTTATGCCTGAATCTTTTTATGCCATCATTTTTATGCAACATTCTGGTCTTTTGTATGCTTTGTTTATTGCCAGAAATTAAGGCCGTCAAAACGGACACGGCCGGAAATTTGCCTTGCAATCACGACTGATTAATAACTTTTGAAATAAATCTGTTTGTCGTGATTTGCAAGTATTTTTGAGAATCAGCTTTTTCCATATGATTCTCTATTAAATTCTTGCATGAGTGGCATGGCAAAAAGGATTTTCCGTTGACTATAAATTTATGCTTTGAACATTTCGTGTAAACACCGTCGATTTATTTAAACACATTATTTCCTACTATTTTAATATTTTTTCGGCAATTCCAGAAAACAATGCTATCAGGTACTTTATTTTTGTGAATCTCCATTTTTCCTTTTGAAACAAAAACAAATTTGTAACCTTTGCAGCACGCAAACTTTAACTGAAATCTTAGCGTTGCTATAATATTCATGTTCACATTTATTATTTGAAATAGACTTTCCCATTCTCCCAAAACTATCGGTTTTCTTTAAAGTCCAATGGTCATTCAGAAATTTGTTATTACACGTAGGGCATGCTATATATTCTTACTTCAGTATTTTATAACATTATTTGGTGAATAATTCATTTCTATTTTCGGATTTAAAATTGCACTGCATGTATATAAAATATTCATATTCTTGCATAATTGCCATTTGAATAATTCTTCTATTTGGGCAACGTGGTAAAAACCTTCACTTACTGATGTATTGATAAAAACTACATGTATTCTTTGATTTACAAACAGTGTTTCCCCAAATTACTTTGAATTTAATATCGTTAATAATGTATTTTGATCTGGAAGTTTTCCCATAATTCATAGTCATTTATTGTTTTTATGCATTTCAGATCCTATCCTTGGAGTTCAGCATATTTTCCCTTTTGACTGTCGTTCTATATACCCAAAGTTCATATATATTGTAATTCTTTTGTAAATACCTAATAATTTGTATATGGGTCATTCCACCGGGTTGGGAAGTAGTGCATGTTACATCCATATATTTGGTTATATTATTAAAAGTATCAATGCATTCTAAACAATTGCTCAACATAATATTTGTCTTAGGGTGTTTCAATACTTGAGAAAGTTTGAAATCATTTGAAAGTACTTTGACAAAAATATGAGCAAAAATGTATTAATTCGGATGTAACATTGACACCGTGTCAATGTTACATCCAAATATTCTTTTTTTGGCCATTTTTTACATGTATGTAAAATATTACCCAAACTGACATTGCATATTTACAACTGGACACCTAAGCACCAAGAAAAGCTTTGTTTTGGTATAGTCGGGGTTAAAATATAGCAGAAACAATACCTCAAGTGTGGATGTAACAGTGTAAAAATCACTCAATGGAAGTGTGACATTGGGTTTTACACCGTGTCAATGTTACATCCACACAACCAAGCTATCATTTCTGCTCCATTTGATACCTGACTACCGAACAAAAGCTTTTCTTATTGTGTTGCATGTATAGTAAGAAGTACGCAAAGCGAATTTGGGTGATGTTTTGCAGAAATTTTTTAAAAAGGTACAAATGTCACATTTGGGCGTAACACTGACACGGTGTCAATGTTACATCCAAAATGACATTTTTTGCTCATATTTTTGGCAAAATACATTGAAATCATTTCAAACTTTCTGCAGTCGTGAAACACCCAACAAAAAATATTATGTAGAGCAACTGCTAGCAAGGCATTCATGCTTTTCTTAATATGGTCATATGTCACACATTGTTCCCCAACCCGGTGGAATGACCCATATATATTGTCTTATATTTGTGCTGTAAATAAAACATTTGATATTATTGAGACAAACAGAAAACTTCGCTCCACCCAAATGATTTTTTAGTGGAACCACTCGGTTGTAAGGAGAGTGCCACACTTTAAAACTAATATATCCCACTCTCCCGGTTACACAGTGTTGAATTCCTACACATGTAACCGACTCTTGGCTCTAGGTTTTGTGCACAGAGAATGGGTAATTTAATTTGGAACTGATTCTTTTGTAGCTGGAACCAAGGATTGCGGGTACCCGGTTTTTGAAAAGAATTGGACTCGCGGTTCCGGTTCTCGTATTGGAACCGGTTAGAACCGGGGAACCGAGGGAACCTCCCAATACTACCCATAACAACTGGTTTATTATGTTACTGCTGGTTAACAGGCCAACACCCATAGTAAATCTCTTTGATATTGCCATTTTCCCCTGCCAAACCCGAGGCAAAGCATTGTTCATACACAATAGTTGTAATCCTCGCATACTGGAATTTGTATCCTTGTGGAGTCATTAATTTGTTCTCGTGTACTAAAGTTTTCGAGTTTGAAAGTGTAGTTTCAAAATGCTCTTATTTTAACCAGAATTAATTTCCTTCAATTTGCGACGAATCAACACACCTTGGAAATTCCTAGTTTTTGAGTAAAATCCATTATATCTTTTTTTGTGATAACCAATATGGCGATGTATTCACCTATAGAAATTGCTCTGTGGAGACTTATTCAATCTTTTGTTCCCTATTATACCCATGTCTCCACAGGGTACCATGTAACAGATCTTACTTACCCATATGTGCACATTTTGTGTGTATGTGGGTCATCACCAGTTGCTCAGCTTATTCTTAATGTATGTAAATTAGGTTTCCTACCGATCAAAGTCAGGTGACAATCAAAATAATCAAAACAGTTATTCCCAGTAAAGCTGAAATGGCAGTGAAGCCACCTCACTGTAAATATTGACCCGAAACAATTCACTTCAACCATGTTATTTTAAATGTGCTTTACTGTGAGATCCGTTTTATGGATTCTACTAGCTGAGCCAAACTTAAAGCTGAATGAATGGTCCAATTCATATGTTAAACTTACCTCTGATTCAGTAAGTACTTTATCAAAACCCTCCTCATGAACCTCAAAATTCTCCTTGAGTAAAAGATAAGCTTCCTCTTCTTGCTTCTCCGACTCTTCCTTCAACTTTGCTGCTTCTTCTTCCTAAATTTTGCACATTAATGTACAAATAACTCCTTGTGATATTACCGCAAGACAAAAAAAAGTGGCTTTTCTGTGTGTGTACAGATGTGCGTAGTGATGGGCGGGCCGTCACTATGTTATGGGTAACTTTTTCATGTTAGGCAAATTAGGACCCAGTTATGGAGACTTTCTGCTGTCCCCACAGCGTCTCTGGTCCCCACAGTACCATGGGACAACTTATGTGTAGTCCCCACCACAACGGGGACTAAGCAGTTATTCCTCACGATTTGAGCGAGAGGCAAAACTGCTTTCTTTTACGCCTGATTTTTTTACAGTATTTTCTTAACATTCAAAGGATGGATGACAGGGTATTTACTTTGAGACTTTGCTCTTGTTTTTCCTTGTCAGCTTCCAGTTGGCGTTGTGCATCAATGATCTCTTGGCGACGCTTCCTTTCCTCTCTCTCTGCTAACTCTTGCTGTAAAGTGAACAATAAGGAGACATGCTATGATCTATATGGATGTTAAACAGCTAAGCGATGTGGTGACCAGAAACAAACTATGTTATTTGATATGAATTTGTTGTTGAACTTTGTAATTACTAGTGCACTGCACGTTGGTTTCATTTGTTTTTACATATTTTGATGTCATGCCAGCCCAATTGGTGTTCTAAAAATCTCAATGCACATCATCACCCAACGTTAATGTTAAAATTAAAAGCGCCGTTGAGGCAGCGTAGTGAATCACACAAACTTAAGCTATCCCCACAGCATGTGTAACGTACACAGACTGAACCTAGCCCAGTGTCGGAGTGTGCCGATATTTCAAGCAACGACACCACCCGACGCAAGAATATTTGTCTGTATTCATACACACGTACACACAAATACCAGCAGGAGTAGGTACGGCAGATTTGACGTGCAAAGTCAACTGATTTTCTTTTTCTCAGTACTGAGTCACAATGGAACAACACGCGACGTGGTGTTCACATAAAAACGTAGCGGTATAGACTCTAACACACTGCTACCCATGGCGCAGTATAGAGTGCAGTGTCTGTTGAATATGTGCAGCTGTGCGTGGCGCCATCACATTTGTATGGTCTAGGCCTCCGAAAACGCTGCTTTTTTGCAGCTTTTTTGAGAACCGCTGATCCAAACAACCTAAAACTTGACACTGCACATTCTTGGGTCCTGATCAATACACTTGCCGATTTTCAACATCATACAGCGCCCGGTTCTTGAGATAATCGAAATACAGACAGACACATAGAGATTCCTGGAATTATAGTAAGATGGGGGAGGGGGGGGGGGGGTGTTTGTATGCACTTTTTTCGGGGTCCACGCAAGAACCCAGAAACTGCTTGTAACGATAGATAAGTTTGATTTTCTTTGGCTTAATCCAGCTATTCTGTGGATCACGCAACAAGCAGAAAACGAGTGATGCCATTTTATTATAAACCTGATCCACGGTTTATACACAGGTTGCTGCATTACACAGTACACAGTTTAAAAATTACCTCTCTTTGTGCCTGCTTTTCTGCTTTCATTTCAAGCTTGCGTGCCTTCTTAGCTCCAATTTTTTTGGTCACTCCAGTTTCATAGTCAATTTCTTCCTGCAATTGCTGTTCATCCTCTGTAAAAAAAAAAAAAAGTAAAAAGTAAACTCATTATAGTTTTTACCACACATTCAACTTGTAAAGGGTACATGTTTTTATTCATAAATACTTTGATTTTTATTCAAAGGAAGAGGGCACAAGTTGATTTCATCTTTCAATTTCATCTGAGTCACAGTTGAGCTTGCTGACAGACACTTGAGATGTTTAACTCTCACAGGTTGAAGCAGATATTTGATGTAGCGTGGAGCAATCATCTCCCATCTACCGGGTCCCCTGGTGGCGGATAGGGAAACGGCCTCCAGATATGGAGGTTAGCTGTGAATTAAATAAGCAATCCCGGACCAACTGGTGGTCCACTCTAGAGGGCGTGCGTGGGTAGGGCAGCTGGCCACACCTACCCCTAGAAAAGTGAACAATGCCTGTTGTAAAAGTGTTCACGTGGTGACTGTTGGTCACCATAAAAACCACCTGACCGGGTTTGGTGAGAAACGTAGCCTTGGGTGGCAACTCACCTAGTGTCGATCACAAACAAAAGCGTTGGTGTTAGGAAGGGCATCCAGCCGTAAAATTTTCCGCCTCAAACTTTTTCAGTATGATCATGTCGTATTTTGGTACCCAGAATAATGGCACTTGAACCTCTTGTGAAGGTGCCATTCTCGGCAGGGAGGAGGGTCGCTGTGGGGCCTGCCAGACCGTCATCTTGCGACCACAGCAAATTGTAAATTTCATATCGCCTCTTTGAATGTTGGTACTTTGAAGTAGTTGAGACTTTGACTCAGAGACGTATATTCACATATGCTGTGTTCAGGAAACACGTTGGATGAGTTGTTCTGCTAGAATGATCTCTGGGAAAAACTGTCAGTATAAATTCTTTTGGAGTGGTGATAGCTTTGGATTTGGAGGTTTCGGTGTGCTACTGGCTGAAAAAATGGACTGACAAAGTAATTTCTGTGATAAGAGTTGACCACTGCCTCATGTGCCTATGTGTACTGATTGGTAAATTGATTGTCAACATCTTTTGAACATACGCCCCACAGTCCGATCGCCCAGAGGAAGAAAAAGATCTGTTCTTCTCAAAGCTGCTCAGCAATGTCATCAATGTTCCAACTGAAGAATATCTGGTTGTATGTGGTGACCTAAATGGGCATGTTGGACAAGCTTCTGCAGGTTTCGATGGTCATCATGGTGGCAACAGGTTTGGCGAATGGAATGCTGAGGTTGTTAGAATCCTGGACTTGTGCACACAGCTGTCGATCTTGCTGTATCCAACACCTTCTTCACTAGATAGTCAACTTGTCATCTACCCTTCTTGCATGGTGCGTACCCAAGTTGATTACATTCTTGTCAGGCGCCATGAATTGAAGCTGGTTTGAGATGTAAAGGTCATTGGTGGTGAAGAATGTGCAAGTCTGTTGTGCGACCTTGTCTTGCAAACCCGTACACAGAAGCCACGTTGTATCCCTCCTGAAGAGATGCATTTGGAAACTTCATAGGCCTGACGTCCATGGGGAATATGAGAGAACAGTCGAGGAGTTCATTAGGTCCTTTGGTGTTCTTACATTAGACTACAGACTCAGTGGCTGATGTTAACGTTGATATCGATTCTGCCTGGAATGACATCAAATCGTGTTTATAGCCGAATGCTTGCAATGCTGTCTGTGGCTGGACCTAAGGTGGTAATTGACGGCAAAAGGAAACCTGGTGGTGGAACGAGGTGAAAAAGGTAGTTAAACAGAAAAGGAAGATTGGCAAAAAGGTAGTGATAAGAAAAAGTATCTGGAAGCAAAAAGAAGGGTGAAGTCTGTTGTGTACAGGGCAAAGAAAACAGCTCATGAAGATAGATTTAGTAACCTGGAACGTAATGAAGGGAGGAATTTTATCTTCAAGCTTACTCACAAAATGAAGTCCGTGAACCAGGATATTGTTGTTGACAAATGTATCAAAGATGACGGTGGAAACCTGCTTTTTGATGGAAGGGCAAAGCTGAATGTTTGGAAGATCCACTATGAGCGTCTCCTAAAATGCGGAGTTCCCTTGGGACAATGACTCCTTACCTGAGCAAGCCCCTGTGCAAGGTCCTACTATCTGGATAAGATAGGGCTGTGGCTAAGGCTGTGGCTCGATTGAAAATACGTAAATCTACTGGTCCATCTGGTTGCCGAAATGATTAGAGCAGCTGGGAAAGAAATCATTACCACTATCACCATACTAGCCAACCGCATTGAATACGAAGGAGGGATTCCTGCAGATTGGAACCTATCCTACATAGTGAACTGTTGCAAGGGCAAGGGTGATGCATTACTGCGAGATGGTTGCTAGTTTGGTCACCTCCAGCGTATGAACAAGGACAGCTGGCCAAAGAAGACGATTGACTACCAGATCCCTGGCAACTACCGATGTGGCCGTCCAAAGAAGAGGTGGAACGACAACATCAACAATGACCTGAAATGTCTACAGATTAATGCCAATCTGGTATTGAACCAAGTAGAGTGGAGAAAAGCTATCTGACCAGGAAGACATGATCATCATGGAGTCCAACCCTCGAGTTCGGGGACAGATGGACTATAAACAGATGGATGGATGGATGTACATGTAGGAAGTGCCGTCTGTTCAAGAAATTGTATTACCATCTTTCGAACAAATTTGAAACTCAGTGTGAACATCAATCCTGATCCCAACATGTGCATCCAAATACATGTATTACATCAAGATGATGTCATCAATATCCAATTTCGAGCCATTTTAATAAAAATAAGTAACTTCTTTCATTTGTAAATTCATTCATTTGATGGGAACAAAGGGGGTAGGATAGGGTTGAAAATGAGTGGCGAATTAACTAACAGTAAAATAAACCCTCAGCACGTGCTTTCTCCCCCCCCCCACCCCACCCCACCCCCCCCCCCCCCCAATAAAAAGGGTCGTGGAAAATGCAGCTTATTTTATAGATACATATATATACATAATAGTTAATACAATTAAATTGCTTAACCTTTTTAAAACTAAATTTCCTCATTACAATCCTTCAATCTCACAATTAGAGGTTGTAGAATAGATAACTTGCATTCCTTTTTTTAACATAAATTATCTAGAAGCCAAAACTTGAACAGTTTTCATCTGAATGTGGAGGCTGGACGGGACAAACAGAAGGAAGGCCAGAAATTGGAATTACACAGGCTCGCATCTATTACACAGCTCACACTAATAAAACAAGTAAAAAATATGCACAATCTAAAAATGTTTGAAAGTTTCTGATTACAATTCATGATAAGTAACAGCGTGGGCCTTGTTACCAACCTTCCAGTTCTTCTTGCCTGACAGCTTGTCTCATCATTCGGTTTCTAGCAGCCCTGGCTCTACGCGCAGGTGCTCTTACTACTGCTTCATCTTCATCTCTTTGCCTTGCTTCTTGTACATGTGGACGATCACGCCTTTCAGCTACACCTGCAATGTAATAGGGCTGAGTCAATTCGAATAATTGACTATTCGACCATCCATTCGATGTAATATTCAAATATTCGGTTATTTGGCCATTCCAAATTCCCACAAAAGCAGAAATATGCCATACATGTACATGTAGTTAAAGTACACGTACACGTCAATATGCCATGCAAGATTTCTTCACAGGTAAGTCAGGTATATAAAAGCAAATAGTAGATATTGGGTCATCAGTAATTTGACAATTAATAATCATCAGAGAAGCTAGAGTGAACGTTTCCTTGTTTGCACAGGGGACATATAAGCCGTAAACCCCAAACACGGCAGTCGGCGTCAACTAATGTGACTCTCCGACCCTTAACTCGCAAAAGGTATCAAAGATAACTTTAGGTTGAAGCTTCTTGAAGTGTACAAAACGGCATATTTTCTAGTCACAGCGTTGAAGATAATAAAAAACTTTCATAGTAATAACTCTCCCTTTTGCCACCGAGATTTGAAGAAATGGTTTTATATCATTTCTCAACAGCCAAAAACTCCAAGAACAATACCTATGATATTTTATGTCTTTAATCAATGAAATACGGGTCTTTGAACTATTTATGCATACTTAAATGTATGCAAATAATGGGAGTGGGTACAGTTTGGAGACACACACCCCAGCTTGACACGTGCAAAGGAGTAATCCCTTGTTTGCACATGGGGATGTACATGTATTATAAGCCGTGAACCCTAAACACTAGGGGTGACATTTCAGCAACCCACCAAGCGGGCAGTTCTGATATAGCGGTGCGGTGAGTTGACCGCAGAGTCTGTTAGGCGAAATAAATAACAGCTCTTTTGAGTTTGAAATCCTGTACCGTATGTTGTGTGTCCACTTTTCTTGCACTTTGCTCGACTTGGAGGACAAGAGCCCAATGTTCCGGCTGTTATCACTGAAAGCATTTTCACTCAACTAGTTTTTTGAAGTGTTTATGTATATTTTATTTGTGTAAATATTGGGTGCAATTAGCATACTAATCAGGCGACAAACACCTTTTTTTGGTGATCCATGGACAGAACTTTAAAACGGTGGTTGTGTTTAAAACTCCGTAACTTGAAAAGTACATAAGTGATTTGAATGATTCTTGTACTAAAAGAAAGCTTATGAATTGGGCTTTCATATCCTATATTTTGAAAGTGCTACATGCAGAACTTCACTAAAACAATGGTCCCGGCATTTGGGTTTCGGGGTTTTTTTTCTCACCCTGTAAATTTACCCCTAAAAATGAAGTCTTTTAGGAAAATCCCAGAGTCTGTAATGTAAATGAGCCAAGGTTTTCAAAGTGTTTTAATGTAATGTTGGCGTTCATGACAGGTTTTCTACAATACCGCCACGTGCTGTGGTGAGCATATTGCGTACTAGCTAGGCCGGGGATTCCCCCAGTGTTGTGGGAAATCTGTCTGTGGCGGGCAGTTAACCACGTGCATTTGACATGATTGAACAGGCGATGGAAAACTTTTGGGGAACTTGCTACGCTGTATTGAGTGTGATGTATCGCTTCATGTACAAGCAGTACGTCCTCAAAATAAGTACATGAAAATGGAAAACACATAGGCCCACTCAGATCAGAGAAATCAAGTACTTTGAATGAGCTTGCAGTGGTCTTCAACATCGATGTTTGCAAGCCATTTTGTGATGTCAATTTGAACCAGCTACGCTAGGCCACATACTTTTCCGGTCCTTTTGCCATTACTTAACCTGTCTACCACTGCTGCACGCATGTAGCACCAACGCGAGGGGAAACTTGCCAGGATCGCATCGGGGAAAACAGCTGCGGTTTTCTTTCGAAAATAACGTGCTAGAGGTTTGATAAGAAAAGTGTTGGGGAAGTGTTTTGTGAAGACATGAAAGACAAAATGTTTTGTTTTAACTTGTCGGAATTGCATCAGCGATCAGCCTTGCAGACCGGCGTCAAAAAATTGGGTCGGCTGGGTTACCGCAAGCACTCCCAAAGCAGAAGTAATATCTGTATAGCATTATTGCTAGGCATATTTACCAGCTGCTTTTGTGGGTTTTTTTTGGCAAAAAAATGGAAACTTAACTTTGAGAATGCACTTTTGATATATAAAAAAAAGTTTTTCCACCTTTTTATTTCATTGCATTTCACCACCGAATATTCTTATTCGAAAATAAATATTGGAATATTCAATAATCGATCGAATATTCAGGCACAGCCCTACAGTGTAATTTTAAAAAAATAACAGCGTTGCTGTTGAAACCCCTCAGCCAGAGTCAAGGTCATCCGGAAACCGATGGGCAACCACCTACCGAAGTTAGACACCAAAATTCATTTCTAACTCAAGTTATCATCCGGAAACCATTTACCTTTAACTCACCACAGTAACCTTGACCTTTGACCTTTTGACCCCCAAAACAATCCCAACTTGCCTGTACCCAAGGGCAACCCCCTACCTAACTTAGACACCAAATCTCATTTCCAACTTAATTATCATCCGGAAACCATTTCCCTTAAACTCACCACGGTGATCTTGACCTTTGACATTTTGACCCCAAAACCAATCCCAACTTGCCTGTACCCAAGGGCAACCCCTACCAAAGTTAGACTGCAAAATCTCAGTTCTAACTCAAGTTATCATCTGGAAACCATTTACCTTTAACTCACCACAGTGACCGTGACCTTTGACCGTTTGACCCCAAAACCAATCCCAACTTGCCTACTCCCAAGGGCAACCCCCTACTAAAGTTAGACACGAAAATCTCATTTCTAACTCGAGTTATCATCCGGAAACCATTTACCTTAACTCACCACAGTGACCTTGACCTTTTACCTTTTGACCTCAAAACCAATCCAACCTGCCTACTTCTAAGGGCAACCCCCTACCAAAGTTACAATCCCAAACAACATTGCTAACTCAAGTTATCATCCAGAAACTAAGCTGCCCGGACGGACGGACGGACGGTCTAGCCAGACGGAATTGTGGGGTGATAGCATTGTGTTCCCATTATCCCTTTTTCTAAAGATTCCCTTCTGGGGTGATGTTTTTCTATTGTGAAAAAAGTGGGGTGATGTGTCCTGAAAGGAACATCACCCCACAAGGGGGGTATGGTCAGAACGGACATCCAGACAGACAGACATCCCAGCCAGACGGAATTGTGGGGTGATAGCATTGTGTTCCTTTTATCCCTTTTTCTAAAGATCCTTTCTTGGGTGATGTTTTTATATTGTTGAAAAAAGTGGGGTGATGTGTTCTGAAAGAAACATCACCCCACAAGTATGGTATGGTCAGAGCAGACGGACGGACGGATGCCGTAGGCGATGACAATACCCCTCAAGCCTCTCGGCTGAGGGGTAAAAAAAGATTTTAAAAAGCCGAACAAAGATGCTATATACTTTCATAAACCAACATGTACGTAGGCCCTAATCGATTTGTGAGTGTTTAATACTGAAATATTCATACATTTAAAAGCTGCAGTACATCAACTAAGGAGTTTATAGTTAATGTAAAATGCAGATGGGTCATTCTATAAATTTGGGGTCCAAAGTGTGACATTTTTCCCGTCCCTGTTACCTTGGTACTTTGTAATTTGCCATTCAAGCATCATTAAAAGTGACTTCAAATGATTGTTTATTTGTTGGGTAGGTAGTTTGCTATTCATAATCACTCTTGGAGGATGACTGTATTAAGGAGTGCATCAGAATTATACAATCTTAGATGTCAGATGTAACAGGGACGGGAAAAAAAGTGGACCCCAAATTTATAGAATGACCCAGATGGTGAATGCAAGATTAAAATGCATAATGAACAACTTACCTAAGCATGAATACATGTAGATTCACAAAACATTACATACATGTAGATGTACGCTGTACAAGATATGAGGTACTCCGCTGATTTCACAATACTCATCTGATCACACATGTAGAAAGCATCTTGTACTTTACATTGTAAGTCAAGTTTAAAGCCTTCGCTGTGGAGGGCTTTTTGGTGTCACACCCATTCAGGGGTGTGACACACATCATGTCACATCCAAAATAATTAAGACCAGTTTCAAACTTGTTTTGGTAATTATGAAGTTGGGTCTTAAACAGCCTAGAAAAGTCTCAATTTGATTTTGATTTGTTTTTTATTATTCTGACATTGCAAGAAGCGAGTGTGGCACATGTGGATCCACATGTAATGTACATGTACACAAATGAACGGGCCAAATGATGTTCCCACAAAGTTTCTGGGAGAGACGGCGTTGACCTTGGAACTGGCCACCCCTGCAAGTTGTCGGTAATATGGTAAAGTCTTGGATGTCAAGGCAGATCAGCCCCGGGCTACATCTGGTTTGGGAGTTTCAATACAAAAATTTTCTATGGTAATCTTGTGGTACTGCTCCTTTGGTCACTACATGTACATGTACATGAACCTAGTGGTTGGGCAAGGGGACATTTATACGTGTGTCACGTGTACAGTATGGATAGATACTTTACATGTTCACTTACATGTACATGTTTATACTTCCCCGATGCCTTGGGACACTGAGAAAGCATGTTTGGTACATAAATTCTGTGGTCTACATGCATCAATACATGTACCGTGCATTTACACCTGACAACACAGCATTTTCATGCCCAAGGTCTGAAAATATGAACAAATTATGTAACAATGCTTCAAATGGTGTCAAAAGTGAGCTATTTCCCTTTCTGTGGAACATTTGACATGAAATTGTACAGGTTTTTAGGAGGTCAACATATATTTAGAATGTAGACATGGCATAAAATAATATATATGTTGAGACCTGCTCCAACAAAACCTGGACAAAGTTGACTAATAGACCTTATGCGTAGCAGCCATCTTAAAGGGATATGCCTTTGTTTTGCTGGAGTATGCATGAGTAAACCTTTTGTACATTCAGTGTTACTGAATTAATATAAAAAAAACCTCTGAAACATAATTGATGCTACAAAACTTCATGTAATATTTAACATGCTGCCCCCCAAAAATTCAAAATTCTCACTTTTTTAAAACCATTTTATTTTTAAGATCCATGGTTGCTTTGGACATGTTTAGTGCAATTAGTGGATCTGCGCAATTCATGCAATTTGGCTATTGTGTTGCCCTTAAACTTGATCCATCATTTGCACCTGTATGCATTATGCGAGTATCTATCGATCCCACAAACATTGGTTCATGCGACTGCTCAGCATACAACCTGTGCCATTAGTTGATCAAGCAGGATGGGTTTCTGTGATACGCTGATCATGCAGAAATTGGTTTGCATCATTTATCAATGGTGCAATCAACAGATGGTGAAAAGCCATTCCTGTATTATTGGCCGATTGTGGGCTACACGACTGGTCGATGATGCACGTTCTGCACTGTGCAATCAGTAGATGGCACAAACTCTGTCCCTGTGTGATTCATGTCCAATGCTTGTGCGACCAAGCAATACTTGAAAAATTGGCCAATGCTTACATGACTAATTGATGGCATATAAGCACAGCATGATTGCCCAATTGCCCAGAATAAATGAAATTGCCTAACAAACATTAAAAGCAAAAGGAAGTCAAAACACACGACACTGGTCTTACATTAGCCCAGGTGGACTCCCTTTCCTCCCTATGTAACGGAGGGAGTCCAGGGTATGAAGTGCTCAAAACCGGGGGGGGGGGAATTTATGACCAATATTTTCAATATTTTTACCTTGTCGGAGAAGCCAATTTTTACGTTGTAGTATTCTATGTGTCCTTATCTATTGGGCCGCTGGGTTCAGGAATTCCATATGCGATGCTGACCGACCTTAATCAGGAAAATAAACTCTAAAGCAACGTTAAACTTGTACGTGTTTGTAGACTCTTTTCATCAGTTTCTCACCGCCGAGTCTATTCTAGTCGTACATGACATACGTCTGTGCAACGTGTAGTCTGGTTCCCTAGACCTGACAATTATTCTCGGCGCTCATATCACGTCTGGTCTGGGAGCCAGACTATGCAGCGTGAATATGCAGGGCGCACGCGCGATTTGCTTAATAACCACCCTCATACGCACGCGCACTTACTTGAAGGCGCGGTCGCTAATCCAATGACCGAGCGTGTTTTTCGCGCCAGTTACCAGAAACATGTTTCGGCTTTGGTCATTGGTTGAGCGTTTTCGTGACGTCGGTTGGCTGGAGTGACGTCACTGTTCCAACCAAAACTAAACGTACGCGCTTTCGTGCGCACGTACATGACGTACGACTCGGGAATAAAACTGATGAAAGGAGACTACAAACACGTACAAGTTTAACGTTGCTTTAGAGTTTATTTTCCTGTTTAATGTCGGTCAGCATCATATATGGAATTTCTGAACCCCTGGATCAATAGAGAAGGACACATAGAAAATGTAGGCGTGAAATAAGCTTCTGTAACGAGGTAAAACTTAACAAAAATCTGGTCCAAATTTTGGGTGGTCTTATATAGAGAATTCTCATCCTGGACGTCAGTCGTAATGCAATGAAGACTTCGTCCAACCTGGGCTAGTCTTACATGTACCATACTTACTGTGATTCAGCTTGCTAACAAAGCAAATAATTGATGCAATGATCACTGCAAAGGCAACAAGAATTGCTGGTACCAGAAAATCTGTCTTCGCCGATGAAAGGTACACATTTCTGTCACTTCCGTCCATTTCTTCTTGCCAAAATGCCCGATGTTCACGTTAGTCAATAGGTCACCTGCAGATATATGGCCAGCGGAGCCAAGAGTGATAACATTCATGACATTAGTCCAGTACATTTATGAGCCTGACCTTGCAACATAAATCAGAATTTCTAGAAAGTGTTACCTATGAACATGTTTAGACTATATTGAAGTGTAGGGCCCTGTTCCAATAGTGGACAAAAATCCACATTCATGTTACTGGACCCAGTCAGACCCACCTACATGTACACATACACATGTACTTCTTCTTAAAAAATCCCAAGTTTCTCCAGAAAAACCCGAGTATACTATAAGTGCCCCTGACCCCTCTCCAAAAAACGTCTTGAAACACTTCTCCCCATATATAGGATATGACCACTGTGTGGCTCACAATATAGAGGAATGATTTCAAGGGGCTAGCATAGCTTGGAAAATCCAGTTCCAGGCTCATAACATTTGAGATTTGTCAGTAGAGCTGGGACGATTTACCTGACTTAGCTAGTGGATTTCAATTTTAGGGCCGATATTTTCCATTTCATTCAACGTACAAGTAAACACTCACCAAACAAAAGAGATCAATCATTTATACAGCAAAGGATCCACTCAAAATGAGAATACGATCAAGCTGAACCAGGTAAACAGAGGTACATGTATTTTCAGTGCAATTCAGGGTGTGTACAACTGTGCCTTTGTTGAGCCAACTGAGTTGTGTACAATACCAGCAGTTGGTTCTTGTTGCCAAACTAGCACTGGCGATACTGAATTTTTGTCGTAGTCGATATTTCCCCCCCCCCCCCCCCCCCCCGATATCTGCGATATGGCGTTAAAATCATCAACAAATTACAGCATGATCAAAATGTCACGTATTTAGATTTAAATAGCAATCTTCACAATACTCCAAATACAAACGCACAATGAACATGTTAAGACTGGATGTGCTGAGGTGTCATGCGAACGGAGGGTATTCACTGGTCGCGCCAACATTTTGCAACGAAAGACCAGATATTTCTCACCTAGAGGGTATATACTTCATATCAGGATCAAACTAATACAACACTGCATCGACTAGTTTGCTCGATGGACACAGGAATGGAAAGCAACACCCTGTAGAAGGAAAGTAACAACCACCAATTAATAGCATGAATAGCGGTCAATCGGCCACAGCCGCCAAGAAGCCACCCGAAGTGCTTGTCACAATAAAACTATTGTTGTTCTTTGTACGGCTGAGTACACAACAGTGAATTACCGTTTAACAGTAAATGCACCTCAGTGTGTGGTCTGACACCCACACATGGAATCTACTCCACACATGTCTATTTCGTTTCAACATTTTTCCCCAGGGAGCTTCCCCTCATCCTTGACCATTGCCACATTCGATGTCCGTGGCCTCACTGCTTCAACCAAGCGTGCACAACAAGCAGCTGATATGACTAGCCAAGGTATAGCAGTTTGCTGCCTTCAAGAGACCAAGTGCCCTGATGGATTCGACGAAACTCTCAATGGCTATCGCCTATTATGCCTACCCTCTACATCACATCACAACGGACTGGGTTTCGCCATTGCACCCTGGCTGCAGAACTGCATTTTACGGTACTGGACTGTATCGGACAGAGTGGCTGTCATTCAAATATCTCTGTCAGGCGAGTCAATCATGACTCTTGTCAATGTCTACGCACCCCATACGGGCCTAAATGTCAATTCCAACATAGACGAACAAGATCAGTTCTTCTGCAACCTAGCTGATGTGACGTCATCTTACAGATCCAGTGCGATGTTCTACATAGCGGGAGACTTTAATGCCAAACTTGGCGTACGTCAAAACCAAGAGACATTCAAAATAGTGGGTATTTATAAAGCGCACGTATCCACCAGGACTGGTGCTCAAGGTGCTACGTCATTCATGGGGAGACACACACGAGGCAGACAGAACACAAATGGCACTGCGCTGGCACACTTTCTTGACACACACGGATTGTTCGCCTGTAACACATCGTTTGCTCATCCTGCTCGTCACCAAACCACGTGGCAGGGCACTCGTCGCGATTATGTGACCAACAGACTTGTGAAGATCTACAAGGTCATTGATTACATCGTGTGTCGCCAGCCGCAGAAAGCCCTCCTGCAAAACTCACGCTCCTACTTTGGCACCACCTTAGACAGTGACCACCAGCTTGTAGTTACATGCATTGATGCATCTCGACTGTTCAGCTGCTGGGGCAGGACAACAGGGACTCGCAGAAAGACCACCCGCTATACTACTGACTGCTTTGCCGACCCAGAGATACAAACATGTTATCGCAACAAAGTCCAGCAAAGTCTCGCAGGTACAATGTCATCAGCAATAAGTGCACAAGACGTTTCTCGACGAGTCGGAATTACACATTATTCAACTTCTTTTAGCAGAAACATCACTTGTGTCCCGCCTGCAGAAGGGCACCTGTGAACCCTTTGACACCACCATCGGCACACCTCAGGGAGACAGCCTGTCTCCAGTGCTGTTTCAGGTTTACCTAGAAGCAACTCTCCATGACCTTCGTGAAGAACTGCAGACGAAAAGCACTGGAGACGGTGGTCTTCCTCTTGATGTAGCATATGCTGATGACATAGACTTCGTGAGCTACTCGCGAGAATATCTGGACACTGTGGAGCAGACCGCACCAGGAAGTCTGCTTCAATGGTTTCTAACCGTCAACCCCACGAAAACTTAGCACACTACAATGTAGCATCAGGTAGACCGTGAAGGAGAGGAGTGGTGCATGACAAAGAAGCTCGGCTCACTGTTGGGAGATGGCAAAGATGTCGCCCACCATAAGCAGCTAGCCAATGTAGCATTCCACAAGATGAGAACACTATGGATACGGCGTCACCAGGAGAGTGAGGAACTCCGTCTGCGCCTCTACATCACGTTCGTGCTCCCTGTACTTCTCTAAAACATGGGTACCTGGGGCCTCACTCAAAAACAGAACGACCAACTGGACTCATTCCACCAAAGCCAATTACGACAGATCATTGGCATGCGATGGCCACATGGCATCTCCAACAAGGCACTCTATCATCGCTGCAAGTGTGGTCCACTCAGCATCAGGACCCTTCAAGCACGCTGGCGACTCTTCGGCCATGTCCTGCGGCTACCAAGAGATGTACCCGCTCAGAAATTCATCGAGGAGTACTTCGGCACAGAAGCAGGCATGGAAGGTTGGCGAGGACGACCTTGTACCACACTTCCAATCGTCCTCAACAATGACCTGAAGACAGTGGGCAAGCGCCTCCCAGTGTTGTAGCGGTCGAGACTGGTCATGGTCTCGAGGAGAGTAAGCAGCTGATTTTTCGGTTCGCTCGGAGCGCGCCGCGGGGGGTACGGTACTTGCACTTGTACCCATGCGCATACTATCATTTCGCTTGTACCGTACCCCCCGCGGCGCGCTCCGAGCGAACTGAAAATCATCGCTGGATCATATGCGTGCACGTTTCAGGTTGGCTCAGTGCGGAAAGGGCATATTGTTCATCATGTTGGCCAAAAAACCGACAAAATCCAGCGATGTTTGTTCTGTGCATATTACGTATGTCATGAGGTGTAGTACGGAGTTTGGGGGCAAACTGTGCAGCGGTTCTATGGGAAATGTCTGCATTTTGATGGACGTTTTTGTACTTAATTAGTGTTTTGTGCTGAAAACAATTTTGTGGGGTTCTTCATCTATAGGAGTACCTTCATCAAGCATGTGCGGCTCATCACCCGATGTAGGCCTAGCTAGGTTTTTTTCCTTGCATGGTTGTTATTGTTATTGTCTAATGTCTATGACATGTTTGTTTCAATTTCTTTAAAAGTCTATAATAAGGCAAAATTAGTGTCCAAAACTGTCCAAACAACACAAATCTGTGTTTCATGATTGATTTTCAATATGGATTTGTTTTTATGTGCATTTCGACCCAATTTAATTTAACTCGATTTAACATTGGAAGTGGAAGTGCTATTATTATTAAAGTTGCAGTTGGTTCAGTAATGTGACCCTTCATTAAATTTCATATTCCTTTATTGATTAATTCAACTCTTTATTTTATTTTTGTTTGTTTTCTTTGTGCATAGGCCCCTAATAACATAACTTATACAAAGATGATTCACATGTGTTTATTTATAAATCTGGTCTCGGTCTTGGTCTTGGTCTCGGACTTCTTTTGTCGGCCTGGTCTTGGTCTTGGTCTCGGACTGTTGGTCTTGGTCTTGGACTGCCTGGTCTTGACTACAACACTGGCGCCTCCACAATGCCGGCAACCTGGAGCAGCTACGGCTAATGACAAAGGAGGAGTGGGTGGCGCTGACAAGGAAAATCGTTGAAACAGCAGAAGCCAAACTGTCATAATACTAATGACAGCAATGCGTAAACTGCTTCTCGCACACACACAAACAGAAAGGTAAATGTATAACTAGAGGTCTATGTCTGTTTGCAACAGAACATAGGGCTTTTCCGCATTATGATTTTTTTTAATCAATAATATGCCCTGAATATGTATGAACATAAAATCTGTCAAAGTTAGCCGAAAATCAGCTAAAACGGTCACTGTGGACAGGATTTGAAATCGGCAATATGATGTATGTGGGTGTGTACATGGTCTTTTCTTGGACAAAGAGTGATCTAAATGAATTACTGGCAAAGAGTCGAAAATGCACTTTGAAAATCGACAATTTTTTGGGAATTTTTGATGAAATCATCGTGACGTCACTTCGGACTTTGCATACTAGTACTATTATCTACCTACCCACCAAGTTTCATGACAATTGGACCTTTCCTTATATGAGTTTTGAAAAATCGCATTTTGATGACGTCATGATGACGTCACACATTTTTCAAGTTTTGTGTGAATACCTATTACCTAACAGACCTAATGCAAAAAAGGATTTTGCATTTTGCATGTTGCGTTCGGGAGATATGGCTAAAAGGTCCAAAAAAATCAAATATTCATATAAAATCTCAGGATGACGTCATCATGACGTCACCTCATTTTTAATCTATAACACATCCTGGTATAGCCACATACC